GATAATCACCTAGTTGTGGCCAGTTTAAAACTGAAGCTAAAGAAGAACTGGACAACTGTACAAACAGCAATACAAAGGTTCAATACAACCTTCCTTCGAGATAATGACAAACTCAATAAATTCAAGATAGCTCTCAACAACAGGTCTCAAGCCTTAAAAGATCTACTGAAGGAAGAAGAAATACTATGGAGGACAACTTGAAAAGTATCAAAAAAGCATTAACTTCAACGTGTCAAGAGGTTCTGGGCCTAAAGAAACACCATCATAAGGAATGGATCTCTATAGAAACACTGGACAAGATCAAAGAAAGGGAGAACAAGAATACAGCAATTAACAACAGCCGAACACGAGCAGAGAAAGTCCAAGCACAAGCCGAATACATAGAATCAAACAAGTAAGTGAAGAAGAGCATTAGAGCCGACAAGAAGAAATACGTGGAAGAACTAGCGACGATGGCAAAGAAGCTGCAAGAGAAGGTATTATGGAACAACTATATGACACAACGAAGAAACTAGCAGGGAGATACAGTAAACCAGAGAGATCGGTCAGATAAAGCTGCCTACTCTCCCACTTTCTCTTTTTTCTGGTGGTTGACTGGATTGTGAAGACCTCGACATCTGAGGAAAAACACGGGATACAATGGACAGCTCAGAACCAATTAGACGATTTAGACTTCGCAGGTGACTTAGCCCTCCTATCCAATACACACGAACAAATGCAGATAAAGACAGCCAGAAGCCAGCAGTCTCTGCATCAGTAGGCCTCAACATGTACAAAGGAAAAACCAAGATCCTCAAATGCAACACAGAGAACACCAACCCAATCATAATTAATGGCGAAACTCTGGAAGATGTGGAATCCTTCACATACCTAGTCAGCATCATCGATGAACAAGGAGTCAGATGCAGACGTAAAGGCGAGGATTGGCAAAGCAAGAGCTTCTTTCCGACAAGTGAAGAACATATGCAACTCAAAACAACTCTCAACCAATAGAAAAGTGAGAATTTTCAATACGAACATCAAGATGGTTCTACTATATGGAACTGAAACTCGGAGAACTATAACAACCATTATCAAGGAGGTACAAGTATTTATAAATGGTTGTCTACGCAAGATACTCAACATCCATGGCCGGATACCATCATCAACAGCCTTTTGTGTGAGAGAACAAACCAGCTTCCAGCTGAAGAGGAAATGGGAAAAGATTATGTAAATCGATATATAAAATTCTAGGACAGTTGGAGAATGAAGAGCACTGTCTAAAATAAGTAAGACACTTTTACCTAAATTGCGTTATCTCCCACTCAATTTATTTTTCGAATTTGACACTCATCACAAAGTTCATTTGTCTGTTTCATTACTGATTTGTTAATTTTCCAGAATTGCATTGATTAAAATGATAAGCCACTGTATATATTTTCTGACATGCAGCTTATGGCTTCTGTCAACCAATTGAAGAGCTGTGCCTGTTTACAGAAAGTGCGATGCACATGACAACATCACAGTATTATAATTGCATTATGATGCGTGGGACGAAGATGTACGTTTTTCGCTTGTTCACAGTCCATTACAAACTTTTGTGCAATAGACGAGTTCCCATTATTTCACTGAATCTGTCTAACATCCGAGTTACACCGTCACATATTTTCACATCCATTCAAACAAAACGGGACTCTCGTGATCAACATTATTCGTCAATAGTAACTGAAATAACGAATGTCAGCAAAGTGAAACTGATCAAATACCATCCTCATCTCTTATTACTGGCATTGTACATCAAATCAATATAGACTACTTAAGGATCTTCGTGATGAAATTCCGTCTGCTCATGAGTAATGAAGCAAATCCCAGTGACATATGGACTTTCAAAATGCCCTCTCAGTTTGCCGTCCTGTCGCAACAAATCAAATACTTGCGGTCGCGTACCTCAACCTGAAAACATACTCATACACAATTACTTGTAAAAAGGTGAGCCGTCATGGTCTTCATATCAATAGCGGTGATCTGCCAACCAGTTCCTTCATCAATACTTTAAACTAATTCGACTATTGACAGTGATTACAGCGCTGCACGCTTCGAATTCTCGTTTATCTTCTGATCAGTGGATCACAAACGGTCCACGTGTTATTACAAGATGATTGTAAAGCATTTTAAGTGATTTTGTGACATAACCTCTCTCCAAAGTTACACAGAATATTAACTAGCAGTTCAGAGACTTAGACCTTGAATGTCACGGTTTGCAATTCATTGCTAAACCCTGTGGTTTAGGGGTATGACCAAATTTGCATTGAAACACCATGAAAATGTACTTAAATTTTATATCCTTCACCAATTTACTTTCAACATGAATGTAATATGTATGAGTAGTCCGAAAAGGGACAACTTGTTGCAATCCACTTAGCTCACAATCAATTGCGGCCCAGCTTCCGAAGTGCCTGTTCACCATTATACGTTGAAACGTCTAGCGGACATCGACTGAGTTATCTTTTGAACATAAAGCACTGTAAACAGTACTGAGTAATCATTAACAAAAAAGTTAATCATTGCTATAACACTTTACCAGATGCAAAGAGTATTACTGACATTTAAGTTGAGAGCTTAAAACCTACCGGTTATTTACGTTTCGTCTTAAAACTTCATGTAATGCAGCGATTCACAAAACGTTCATGTATCTAATATTGATAAGTTATTCTCACGCGTATTACGTCGTTTTCTGGGCCTTATCAAGTCTTCAACAAAGGCGGTTAATTTTACTAGGGCATTTGGTATCCCAGATCATAATACGAAGCAACAATCGAGTCAACGTCTACACTACAAGGCAGAGAACAGTTAATCAATGCTTTCTGCTGTGATTTTGTGATTTCGTTGCGGCAAAAGACCGCTTAAGCACTTAAAATCCATGCAACTAAACGAATAATCAACCAACACACACGAATTAAAATACGGAATGACCGCCTCGTACCAGGCCGTTTCAGGTGAGTGGCTTTCAGTGGATCTAACCTTTTGACTATGTCGATAACAATTAATCGGCATAGTGTGGCTCGGAAATTCAGGAGTGGTCACTTTATGCAGTTTATTCCTCATTAAAATATATTTATTATGCAGTCACCACCTCAATTATGTTTTTCAGAGGTTCATATTACTGTTTGTCAAAACATACGAGTTATTATAGACAATGATGTGACTTCCACGTAAGATCCCATGAATTATGTAGTCGCATCATGGGAAATCTGCGGTTTTTGGATTAGGTCTATTATTCAAGTAGCAAAGATAAGTGCATCTAGTACCGACACATTCCATAATTCTACAAAATATTTCAATACTCAGTGACTGTAATTGTTAAAGGTAGTGTCGTTCATACATGTTTTCTCTGTTTTGAACTGATATATAATTCGGCGGAACTCCTTCCATATGATCAAGTACCATTTTATACGACTTTCTTTGCCATCATACGCATCTATTGTTAATTACCTCCTCGAAAGATTTGAAACAGGTCATGTGTAGCTGTAGAAACGGACAGAACACAACTACGAAAATTCCTGGAGGTCAGAGCCTGGCCGTGATATTTCTGCAACTTTCAATTTTGTGCAGTGGGACTGCTTTAACTAAGATGGTTAAAATCATGATCTTGGAAAACTGGTCTTCCGAGTTGCAGATATTTTTTGATGTAATAACGTCTCCTCTAATTTTAAATCCATGCCTTGACATCTTCATAGGCCCCTCATTTTTGTCAGTGACTCTGCAAAGACACACAAAGAGAGCCACCGCCTCGTTCAAAACTTCACTACCACGTGTCGCTGAGTTATTACTCGTTGTGTCGCACTTCAGTGTCTGGCTTCCAACTTGTGTATGTTGAAACACATTTCGGTGTTGCCTCTGCTGCGGGATGAACAGTATAAAATGTCAGTCATGCAGCCATGCTCAAGATTCCCAACACATTCTAGCCAGGTGAAGGAGAAAAGGCCAAAGCAGGCACCTTTATCTGATACATATCTACGGATGAAATGCCTCTGGTTGCTGCCTTTCATGAATGACTACAAATCAATCCCTTTCAAGTTTTCTGTGTGATTGTGAAAACCTTCTCCAAAGTTCTGAAGAGGACATTACATGGTTCTCCTATCCATGCCGTCCAGCGTTCTCTCATAATTAGGGGTTCGATATAAAGGAATACATTTCATTCTACTGACTGTTCAAAAATGATATTTCATGTCGTTGTTTTGTTACTACATGATCTATCCATTGGAAGTCAGTTTGTTCTTCTCGCAATATGTGTGTCTACTGGATCTTTCATTCTGCCAAGGAACACTAAAAATGTTTGTAGTTCACACACTTAACAAGATTTCTTGCTTTAGCAATATTGTTAAGGTATCTCTTTATTCAGTCTGTTAAGACCTATTATTTCGCCTAAATCTTCCCAAAAAGAATGTTGAGTACCTCTGCAGTTACCTCTACATCTATATATCTATATCTAATTTGTAGACACCTGTCGTAAATTACTGGTCACTCCCGTAAAACTGACGTGAACCTTCTTTTTCTGGAAAGGTTATTACGAAGTGAAATGATAAATAATATATCGTTTCAAGTTAATACTGATTGTAAAATCTAAGACAATAAAATACTGTCCTGACACTAACCATTAAAATATCGCATGGAGTTTAAAATCATAATATGGCATGCTAATTTTAGGCTTCTTTATACTTCTGAGGGACAATCAAGTCAATGAACCCATTTCCATTTTCTTTAGCTCGAGTAAACTTCTTTGAACCATTAAAAACAAAGCTAAATATCTCCATAAAAACTAAGAACTGTATAGGTATCAATGCCAAGGATGGATTTGATAGTTTCCAATGAATTGAGCATTGAGAAGAGAGTTAATTACAAATATAAGTTTTTTACTGATTTTGAAGAAGCGACTTACAACAAGAGCCGACTCTTTCACTACAACCAAAAATGAGAATTATCACTATATCTTATATTTATTTACTATATATTCATTTTTTATGACTTACATTCCCACACCCATAAGTAGTTATTATTTATCCACTGCGATAAGCTACGGTAATTTGTTCAAAGAAATATTTTCCCCACTCTTAGCTGTTAGCAGCTCTAGTAAGGTATTGGATGCTTAGTCCAAAGTAGCGCGTTTTTGGTTTCTGTGGTCTACTTGGGTATATCAGCAGATTTGTCTCGTACTATTTATTTGGTATGTTGTTTATGATTGAAGCAACGAAAATTTTGAGCAGTGTAGTTACAAAAAAGGCAAATAGCTTCTCAAATTGGGTTTATGAGCTAGATTCTGCGTATAAAGTGGAGAATATTGGCATAAAGCTTACAATAAACCGTATTTATGTGAATGCTCATATCTTCATCGGCCCAAAGTTAAGAAAACTCATGTATGATGATCACTGGCTTAAATATTTTTTATTCATATCAGTGTGCTATGTAAGTAAGAACGCAACAAACGAGGGCCCTATATAACGTGCGTCAATCATTACTTTACCGCGTGATTTATGGTTCGTCTGAGTGTATATAATCGTTTCCTGTATTTATAAATGAAGTATAGGCCAGTACACCTCAGCTTAACGCGAGAGTCTTATCTTGTGTCAGGTCTTGTTATTTTCAGCATATAGTGACAAATCTAAGGTCTGACTACTACGTGTCGTTTACCGTGCTATGTTGTGTGGTGGTCATTTCCTACTGATCTAACAATGTTGGGTCTTGATGATTTTACCACCCTTTTCAAAATTAAGTAAAAGTTGTGTTTGAAAAAGTTAGAATACTATATTCTGGACTCTTATCTATACCTAAAGAACATTTCAAGTTTCTCTTCGCAAAATGTTGAATGATGTTTCTGAACTGGTTCATAGCAGTAATTAGTGTAGCTTTTGAGAGTGACTTGTTTGAGTGTCCTAGCAACTCAGCCTACTTTGAAGTTCTATTAGCTCCTATGAGTTGCTGGCTAATAAACCCTCTTCACAGATACAAAAAGCTAGTTTTGCCTATTTTGATCATGGTACCTTATGGGCGTACAAATCGCTTTTCCGGTTTATTCAAATCTCGAGTTAGCTGTCATTTCTAATGCTTCATATATCGGTCGCATTTATTCCTCTCAAACTATTTTAGTGGTTGTATAGCTACGATCAGTTCATGATTTAAACCAACAAGTTGCTACTTTCCCGAGTATTTTATTTATTTCAACACATAAATATTGGTACAAGAGGGCATCAAATATATATTCGCCACACCATATTTGTGTGTGTGTGGGCTGTGATACTGCCCGGGTGCCCAGACCGAAGCAGGTGGTTTTCTTAGGGGGCCACTCCCCGAACCTTCGACCTGAACGTCTGATCCACAAGGCAGTGGAGCATCGTAAGGAGATGCAGTCCCATGGTAACCGGTGACCAACAATTGGTTCATAAGCCATTTGTTCCCGCCGGATACTGGAGCCCATGTGCACGATTGGTTTGGAATCCGGTTAAAGCACCGGACATTCGCTTTTCGTCCTCTCATTTTCGTAAACAACACCCCCGCCACGATAAGGCAGTGAGTAGGACTTCCATGGCAGAGGCTGTATACGCGTGGCCGTGTGAGAGCATTTCGAGAGGGAGGGCGGGCCCACCCCACTCTCTGCCATACCAGGGCATTTGGGGGCCGCCACCAGGGCTTCCCCGAGTACCTTCAAATGAGTCTTCGTTTTGCATAACTCGACCAGACTCTTGGTCTGGCGATCAGCTACCCAAGTGAAAGTGCTAGTCAAATGTTTTTCTTTACTATTAATGGTTTCTTATAAGACAACAGGAATCAACCTAAGCAAACACTAAATAGAATTCGATGCGACTGAATAAAGATGTACTAACAATTCACGCACTGTGACATTGTTAATTAGAAACTGAAGCTATAACGAAGGTTTTACTTATGAAGTCACTAGAGTAGTAAAACACGGTGAAGTCATTAGTTAAGACTTTTTACATGCGTCCCCTCTAATATCGCTAATCCTGCGACAAAAGCAGAATATTTTTTATATCGTTTATATACTGATAAATTAAATGGATTTAGAAGGATGTTATGGATAAGTAGAAAAAAATATTTATAAATCTCAAAGTTTCAAAAACTATAAAGATCAAAACACTGATGGTATGGGAGTTACAATTATGTATTATGTTCAAAAGTAGGTTCTATAAGATTGGCAATAAATGACTATGTATTCTGGAGCTTGAAACCAGGGGTTATATAATTATATCATTTAAATACGCAAGTTAATGGTAGTGACAAAAAGATGTAGTAAACCTGTCAGTTCCTCGGTATCTTTTATCTATTGGTTTTTAAATTCACAATCTAAAAAGGAAGTTATTGAAAGCTTCATTAAATCCATTTCTGTTTGGAAATATTTCTTTTCAATATCTTGATAATGTAATAGGAAGACGAAGATTATCAGAACTATGTGATATATTAGCGTAATACATTTCGAAACAAGCTGGTCACATATATACTTGTTAAGAACATTTATATATAAAAGTAAAAAGTCAACTAGACTGGAAATAGGGTAAGAGGAGACAAAGATAATGATAATAGTAATAATAATAATGTGAACACAATTTGAAACTTGTTCACTCTGGATAATGAGCCAATATTACCAGGGTAGGTTTAAGGTGAGAACAAACTGTTTTTGAATACACAAGGGGGTTTGAATTTGTTCGAAATGTATTGCGCTAATATATCGTATAGTTCTGGTAATCTTCGTCTTCTTATTACATTATCGAAATTTATCAAAGGGACTAATTGCTTTAAATTTTTAATATTCACTTTTAACTACTACAGCAAGTAAATAACAATCAGATATGGAAACGGTGCTTGAACAGCAACGTCGCATCCACGAAGAGCGGGAAAGACTAATAAACGAATTGACAAAAGAAATGCTTTATAATCCAACCACAGTAAGCTGTTGTTCAATCAACTGATTTTTGTTTTAGCATAGAGAAAAGTTAAATTCAGAGCTTCGTTTAAGACTTATGTATGATGTAAGTGAGGTATTTACTTTTATTTTATGATTATAGAGGTACTTTGATGTAACACAAGAACTAAGAGATCTGTATGAAGATAAAGATGGGTAAGCTTATATTTTACTTTCTCATATAATTTCCTATAGTCTACGCAAGGCTGATATTCAAACACTTTCCGGTCCAAATGAATTTAACGAGTTTTATGATAGATTAAAGCAGATTAAAGAATTTCATCGCAAGCATCCTGGCGAGGTAATTTGCTTGAAAAATGTCGCTGCTAATCGTTACTTAATAAGATATGTGTCCCAATGTCTGCCGAGTTTGAAAAGTACAAAGAAATGAGAGAAAGACCAGAAGAAGCGAATGCTGTACTTATTGACTTTTCAGATGAGGAAGGCTATGGTCGTTATCTGGATTTACATGATGTGTATAAGAAATATCTGAATGTAAAAGGTGTTCCAGTAAGTCACTTTCAGTGGTTTTAATGGTCATCAATTCTATGTAGCGCATAGATTATCTCACTTATATCTCCTTCTTCGACCGATTGTATGATATATCTCGTGATAAAAAGGGAATAGCATATAAAGCGTAAGTGCCTTTACGTATTTTATAACTTGTTACTAGCTACCTCGAAGAGTTGCTTGGTTATCTTGAAAATTTCGTATCGCGTGCCAGACCTATAGTGGATTTAGAAGAGGTGAGCTAACTTACAATATTACATTTCACTATTACTTCCAACTGTAACTATTTAAAAATATGTTCATGTGTTACTTATCCAATTTTGTGAACCTTTAGGAAACTAAAGAAGCGCTTGCTAAATTTGAAACACAATGGACTCAAGGAACATTTCCTGGTTGGGGTCGTGAGGCAGCATCTGCCTTAGCGCATGGAGGTGCTCATTTGGACTTGACCGCTTTTACAGCCTGGGAAGAACTTGCTTCACTTGGACTTGATAGGCTTAAGTCAGCGTTACTCGCGTTGGGCTTAAAATGTGGTGGAACTTTGGAGGAAAGAGCTCGTCGCTTATGGGCTACAAAGGCAAATCACTCGAAGAGTTACCTGCAGATCTGTTTGTTACAAAGCAACGGTCGACAAAAGGTTTCGCTAAGACAGCTGCATGGGGACATGTACCTCCGTAAGTAATATCCCTCTTTTAAATAGTTAGAAATTGATGTGACGATAAAAAATAGGGTTCCTGAATTGGATTGTGTTTTGTGTAGCCGAAGCGTTGTCGTGGGATCAGCTGTACTAAATATTCCGATTAGTGATTAGTTCGCCTACATCCCCTGTAAGGACCAATGATTTTGTGTTAGCCAATCGCGAAATGACCTACCTTTCATCAACAAGCTAATGATAGTGAGATAACGACTGAGACTAATACTTAACGCTTATTAGTCCCAAGTGAAACTTTTCACTCTCGCTTACTCAATAACCAATATAAGACAAGAACACAACGGACAAATTAATTTCCGTTGTATAATTCAGTTCATAACTTGAAACACATCTTAATATTAATTAATTGCTTGACTACTTACCAACATAAATGCGAAATAACAATGTGGGCATAACTACACTATCAGTAAATGGAAACTAGGTAATAGGTTCATAGTTGATTAACAATAACTTAGGGAATATAAAACAAGGAACGAAAATTTATTTACCCAACGATAGCTGATAAGCGGGAGATCATAAGGATGCAATGACAATTGTGCTATAAAAATATAACCAATAATTCTTCGCAGAATAGTCCCATAAACTACATCTGCTTCAGTGTTCTTCCTGTGATAGCGATAATATTAAACTTTTACTTTGTTTTATTAATAGAGCGCTATCTGAAAAGCTAAAAGAAATCGCTACACTAGAGGCTAGAATATACAGACTCAGTGAACTGGTCAAAGAACATCGCGAAGCTACTATTGAGAACGTACAACGTCGTCAGGCACGAATAGGATTCGAACGAGATGAAGATGATACAGATGCAGATAAGGATGCTACAGGTGCAGAAAACGGTCAGAATGAAGAGGATGATGATATTCCTTATAACCCTAAGAATCTACCCCTTGGATGGGACGGGAAAGTTAGTTCTTTAATTTTCGTAGTTTATGTAAAGTTAAACCTAACGACCAATAATCCACTAATCCTTTTAAACACACATTTAGAAGTAATACACTATTCAATGTAGTTAGGAATATATACCGATTCTCTTGTATGAAAATTACCAAGTCATTTTTAAAAATGTTGTATAATACATGAATCTTTTATCTTTATGCTATTTCTGGACTGCTTAAGGCCAGACGCATCATCCATTATTATTCGGGCTTCAAGTGTTTGATCGACCATTGACTTTCCGTTTGTCTTCAGTTACCATTAGTAATATTGAGAAATCGCTAACATGTATTGTGTATGACATCTGTATACAAGTATATATCGGTTCTTCAAAATGCGGATTAGTGACATTTTAGACCCATTAGGATACTCTAGGTGGAAAAATCTTGGTAACAAATCTACACCGCTATCACATATTTTATTCAGAGCTATCTTCAGTATGCCATTGATGGGAAGGTTGAGAAGGTGATAACGTAATTGAGAACTACCGCTTAATTTCACTTCGGACTTGTTGACCACTGGAGTTTAGGAACATCCTCAGTCATGGCTATTTATTTTATAGCAGAAGTTTACCCCGTCAATTGTACCTTGCCCTTATCGAGCCATTAAACTTAACAAGACGTTAATGGGAATCTAGTCGATGAGTGCTGCCTCATCTGTGACTCTGTAACACCACAGTGTCCTCGGAGTACATGTTTAGACTCCGGTCATGCGTTAATAAGAGTACGCATTTACTCGCCCCTCACGACGCAAAAAGTCGCATTAAGAAGACTCATTAGAGTTGAGCTCAGTGACGAGAAAGCCAAAAGTAAATTCCAGGAACATCTGAGGTCACACTTAGGTAGTTCTGAAAATGAGGCTGACCCAGATGTTGCTTGGGAACATATACAAGCAGCTGTGTGAAAAGCAGCGACATCTATTAGTGATTTTGACCAAAAATCAGTGATTTCTAATAAGTCCATTGCACTGATAGATTCTCGTAAACTTACCCCATCAGGCTGTGAACACGATGAAAAGTCAGATCTAGATCAACCAAAAGTCTGAGGAACGACCGTGAGCAGTGGTAGGCAACGAAAGCAGAAGAGGTGGAAAAGGCGGCGGCTGTAGGTAACGCGATGCAACTTTTCAGACTAATAAAAAACTGGAATTAAGAAGTGAAGTGTGAGGCGATCTCAGAAAAAGACGACATTCTTATCTGCTCCCAGCTCAGACGTTTAGAACGATGGGCGGAACACTTCAAGGAGCGGTTCAGCTGGCCTTCAGCTACTCTACAACTACCCACCATTCCCAAACAGCCTTGATGGAATATTGAAGTGGGTCCTCCGATTCTAATTGAAGTTCAAAAAGCTATAGCTGATCTGAAACGACGAACAACAGCTGGTTCAGATGGATTGGCTCCAGAGATCTTCAAGAATGGTGGTCCATTTGTAGCGATCAGATCGACTAATATTTTAACTAAAATGTGAGAGTTGGACGTAATCCCATTTAACTAATCGCAATCACTGATTGTCCCACTATATAAGAACGATTCAAAATCATCCTATGATAACCATAGAGGGATTAGTTTGACCAACATAGCATCTAAAATACTAGCCTCAATAATTATTAAGCACCTAACAAAGACTCGTGAACTGCAAACACAAGAAAATCAGGCTAGCTTCAGACATGGTCGTGGCTGTATCAACCACATATTCACCATTCGTCAGGTATTAGAACTCAGGCATGTTTAACGGCCTCGGACAATGGTGGTCTTTCTTGACTCTTAAAAGCAGCATTTGACTCTGTAGATCGAGAGGTTCTGTGGCTCACGATACGATACATGGCTCAAAATCGTTTGCAATGGCGCAGGTGCATCCACTCTTTGTGCCCTCCCATATTCTAATCTTCTGAATTATTCATGTCCTTTATTTTCTTTCTAAATTTATTTCACTGGATTACACTTTAAATAACATCTTCAAACCCTAATGTTTCCTATTACTGCTTATACTCTTACCACCTCTACCACTATGGGATTTGAATCGACAACTGCATCTCTGTGCTAACGTGGTGTGGCAACTCAGACTGATGTACGTACGCATGAGGTTCTACGTTGTTACTGACTGGGGTTCTGTGGCAATGTCTGTCATTGGAAGGTGTACCTCAGAAGTACATAAACCTTGTGAAGGCTCTTTACTCGAACACTGCCGGTCGAGTCAGAACTTATGGAGAACTGTCATCTGCTCTTGCAACCTCATGTGGTGTCCGGCAAGGCTGTCCACTATCTCCATTTATGTTTAATCCCACATAGACCTACTGCTGGAAATGACGTTCCCGTCGTCTGAGTTTTCGGGCATTGATCTCCTTCCAGGAGGTCCACTTATCGACTTAGAATACGCAAATGACATAGTCCTGTTTGGTGAAGACGCTGATAAAATTCAGAGTCTTTTGATAGCACTGAGCAACAATGCCAGGATGCCTAGGATGTGTTTCCCCCCTCTAAATGCAAGTTGTTGCAGAAGGACTGGCCTGCATCGATGACTTCGCTTATGTTGAAAGTTTGATCGACCCTAATAGGTTAATGTCTGACGGAATCTGTGCACGGATTCAGAAAGCTCGCTTGACTTTTTCGAACTTATCTATGGAGAAGGCGAGATATCTGTCTATCAATTAAGGGACAAGTATACTGCGCGGCAGTTTGTTCTGTTCTACTTTACGGCTGCGAAACGTGGTCACCAAGAGTAGAAGATACTCGTAAGTTACTAGTATTTGATCACAGATGTCTTAGAAATATCGCTCACATCTGCTGGGATCACCGGGTAAGTAATAGTGAGGTTAGACGCAGAATATTAGGGGGTGATGGTAAATCAGTTGATGAGGTTGTGAATCTTCATCGACTGAGATGGTTGGGCCACGTGTTACGTATGTCTGAACACCGATTACCACGACGGGCAATGCTGACTAGTGTTGGAGACGGTTGGAAGACTGTTATGGGTGGTCAAAACAAACTTGGTATCAATCCTTGAAGCCACTAACTTCTGGTCTGAGCCATGATGGTAGGTTCGGACTACTTGGTGTGGGTCCGCGCGTCCATCGTAACCAATGGTTGTAGACTTAGTGTGACGTGGCTCAGAATTGATCACAATGACGTAGGTGTATACATTCTATATTTTTTCTCAAACCGTGAGATTAAAATTGCTTTATACGAACTAATTCTTCCCCCTCTCCCTGTATTATATCTTTATATTCAATTTTTCCTTTATATAATACTACTATTGAAGTAACTAGTTCTATGAATTTGGTGTTCATCTTGTTGTGTTAATGAGGGATGGCAACTTGAACCGATGCATATAAGTACCTGGCCCTTCATTGTAGCTGAATGATTGACTGACCTCGGGTTAATACATATGGTAACTTTTTCGTGGAGAGATGAAGAATGACTTCGCAGTGCTTCGATGTAATCATAAATGCTAGTCTATGGTATACAAAAGTTTTATTTATTATTTATTTGAACGCATAAATATTGGTATAAAGGGGCACCGAATACATATGCTCCACACAAGTCACTTGATTTGTGTGTGGGATGTGATACTGCCCGGGTGCACAAGCCGAAGCAGATGGTTTTCTTAGGGAGCCAAACCTCGAGTCTTTAACCTAAAGGTCTGATCTACAAGACAGTGAGTGAAGCGTCGTGAGGAGATGCAGTCCCATGGTAGCCAGTGACGACAATTGATTCATACGCCATTTGTTCCTTCATGATCGTGGAGCCCATGTACACGATTGGTTTGGGACCATGGTTTCCCAACTCCCATAGGTTGACCCGTGTCCACCAACCCGGTTAAAGCAGTGATTAGAGTCATTAAATGTTCAATATCAAACTCCTAACCGGTTTCCTCTCATCCTTGTACGACGATGCTGGAATATGTTTTCCTGTGTTGAAACTGAGCACTGGCTGCAACCTATTTACCTCGCTTCAGAAGAACAGATGAATTGTTAGTTGCAAATAGAGGTGACTAGATGAAAAAGCCTACTTATTACGAATACAGAGAATAAATGCCTGTTTGTGAATTTTAATCGACGTTCTACTACATAAAACGTTCTTGTAATTGCTTTGAACAACCGATTCTTATACATCTCAGATTTATTTATTTATTTATTTGAACACATAAATATTGGTACAAGAGGGCATCAAATATATATGCGCCACACAAAACAATGAGAATCTGAAGAGAACAAACACACGATCCCGAACCTCTGCATCGTTAACATGGTGTTGCCACTGAATGTCAGCAATCCTTCAGACAGCGATGATCGAACACAGAGAGTCGTCTAACATCCTCAACTCGGAGAGGGCAGGTTTCACAAGCATAGAGCAAAACTGCTCTCACCGACGCGCTGTAGACCCGACCTTTTACAGCCAGACTAACATCACGAAGGCGCCAAAGATGGCCCAGATTGGCATAAGCCGCTCTGGCTTTCACTATACGTGCATTGATCTCATCATTCACACCACCACCAGCACTTATGCAGCTACCCAGATACACGAACTTCTCGACTACTTCTATCTGCCCACCATCCAGGGTGAGTACAGGATTAGAATCCTGCCAGTCTTGTAGAAGTACTTTGCACTTCGAAGGTGCAAAGCACATACCATACCTACGGACACTGATTGCCAACTGATTAAGTGCGGATTGCATGGCTTGGGCATTATCGCACAGTAAGACAATATCGTCCGCATACTCAAGGTCGAGAAGTCTTTCTCCAGGCAACAGATCCACGCCACCATTACTTACATCCATCAGAGCTGTTTCCACCATGTCATCGATGGCAAAGTTGAAGAGGAATGGTGAGATTGGGCAACCCTGTCTAACCTCACTGCTTGAATGGAACATTAGAGATAAGTGGTTGTATGCCCTCACTCTGCCTGAGGTGTTTGTATATAGGGCCTTTAGGGTGTTTCATATAAAGCTATTTCTTTGAAATCGACTTTTTTGGATCCCTTGATCCGACTTCCTTTTATTTTCTTCATGAAGCATTTTTGATAGCCGTTTTCAACTTAGATTTTTCTGAAGATTTTAATTTCCAACTCGACGCGTTTGACATTACAGACCCTACATATTGAATATCATAAAAAACGAATAAGTTTCCTATTTCTCTGCCAACTAGCTCGATAAGAAATTCGTTGACAAAAGAATTCTTTTCACTGAATTTCATATTTTTTTAATATTTAAGTAAGAATTATAAATAAATAGAAATTGTGTCTAATGTTTTTAATTTTTATAAATTTAGCCTATTCCATATTGGTTGTACAAATTGCATGGATTAAATATGTATTATAGTTGCGAAATATGCGGTAATCAAACATACCGTGGTCCTAAAGCATTTCAACAACATTTTTCTGAATGGCGACATGCTCATGGTATGCGATGTTTAGGCATACCGAATACAATTCATTTTGCTCACGTAACAAAAATTGAAGAAGCTTTAGCTTTATGGCAACGAATAAGAACAATGAAAGAAGCTGAACGTTGGCGTCCAGAAGTTGAAGAAGAATTAGAAGATTCTGTCGGCAATGTTGTATCTCGTAAAACATATGAAGATTTAAAACGTCAAGGTCTTCTTTGAAAAAATATCCTGAATAAAATTTTTTCTTATTCTTGTAATATTGTACACTTGTGAAATATAAGTTTATTTTAATGTATATGTTCTATTGTTCAAAATAAGATGGATTTTTTTCTGCAAAAAAAAGGTTGAGTTTGTATGTTTTGATTGTGACTGTGTTATTAAGCAGTCAGGAGAAAAACCAATTACAGATGGTTTGGATTATCTTGTTTTTAATATTTATGACTGAAATTTGACCAGTCTCGGGTTTGAGACCTGGAGTGAGTGTCAATTCCTGGATGCATGTACACCCAGTTGATTAATCTCAAATATGACAAAACGCTTGTCCTCGATTCCAATTCTAACCACACTCCATCTATTCCGTATCAGCCACGAAAAATGTTTGTTGTAATATTTCTTCACGGTTTTTGTACATAATTTATATTATTGTTTTCTTCTCTGAAAATAAGTATCTTGCAATTTATTCATCTAAGTACGAAACCTTTTGTTTCCAATCAAATGGTTATCTCTGTAAATAGGAATGCTACTTTGTATTTCCACTATTTGAGATATGACTTCAGTAATCTGCTAACTTAGTTTACAGTTATTAGATACTTTTAATAACTAACTGAATTTGAACCAGTAATCTGATGCTGTTTTACATGAGATATTATACACGAATCTACACTTCTATTTTTTATAATGCTACTCTGATGAAATATTGAGTAGTAGCTTAGCTCTCGAAGTACTGGACTTTCGGCTAGTAGATTGGTCTGAGGTTCAAACCTCGTCCTACCCAATTGGATTTATATGGATGAATATTACTGCTAACCCACAAAAATAATGTCACTATGTTCTAAAGTACATTTTTATAATTTTATAGATGGATTTTCGATCGTTAAAATTTATGCAAAGAGTGCTAATCGATAGGTGATATGCAATTTGAGTCGAATAATACCTGCTCACAAAACCGTAATGTTAATTCAAATCCCTAAATGATTTGAAATTGAAGACAAGACCATTAGGCAGTAGAAAAGTTTGTTTGCTTAATAAAATGCCCATGCCTATATACAAAACAACGCAAAATAAGTATAAATTGTCATAGGCGATTCGAAGGATTTAATTTTGTAGGTCACTTATCTCTCAATCAATTAAGATTTTATCCATCATATCACCTGCCCCATAAAATGATTCTGGATCCTTCATCTATTGATTAACATTCTATTCGTTTTAAAAATCAAGAATTTGTTCGGAAAACCATTCAAATCCTGTTCCATGACAAATTCAAAACCCGAGTTCATGAAACCTGTACTTTGTAAATTTGTTTCATTACTTTGATTGTATTCCTTGTTTTTTCTAGTTAGGTTTATAAATTTGATCAATTTAAATATTTTACTTGCATTCGAGTAATATGATGTTTTCAAGGAAAGTCGTACGAAAATGTTTAATTTACGTAGGTTTATGGTTCATTGTGTCAGGAATAAAGCTTACTCTTCTATCAACCTTTTATTTTCCCCAATGAATAGAATATGTAAAAATTGTTTTGTAATGCTTAGAATTCTTACTGACTGTTTAAGGGAATAAATTCATCCGCTCTCTGTTTTTGTCATCATTTCAATGAGTTTTGTTATTATAACTGGTTTTTGTTATGATTGTAAAATAATCATATATCTATTATCATTTTAGATAGTAAAGTAATATAGATTGTTATAAATAATGGAAGTTGATATATCAAATAATCCCTCACATGAAACAAATATGGACACTACTTCTGAATGGGAAAGCGCCATTCCAGAAAATGCTGAAAAACATAAAAATCAGATTGTGGGTACTGAAGAGTTAGTTACTACCACCTGTAGTGATGACAGTGCTCTTCTCGGAAGGGGAACTTGCACAGATTCTGAAGTAAGTAGTTCTCCTAAGTTTTTGTTTTTAGTAAGATTTAAACTGCAAAGGTAATCCGTGTCGGACCAACCCAGACTTCTCATAACTATAGTTTTGTATCCCTGGTTTATAGATTCAGTCAACATAAAAATCCAATTATTTTGAATCTAGGCTAATCTGGCTAAAAAGGATTTTGCAAGATATGGAGTACTCAGAGAAGAATTGTAAATTGTTGATTGGTTGGCTTGAAAAGTAAAATGTTGAAAACACTGATCGTCCCATTATATTTTAGCATTGAAAAATGACTTTAACTGGAAGCGCTCGGTTTTCAACCAACAATTTACAGGTTCAAACACCGTTTCACCTACTTTGGTTCGGACAGCCTTCACAACCTCAGCATAACATATGGCTTAAGGTTGAGTACGTAAACGTGTACTTGACAAATAGGTTGCATTAGACTCTAAGTATAGTATTGTATTATTTTATATTATTTTGTGGACGACAGAAATATAAAAGGACAAGCTTTAAACAACTGTGACGAATTGTCGGCTAATTTCTGGCCAATCAGAAAGTAGCTTTCATAGGTGGATAGTTTCTGGATATTGCGAAGTATAAATAGATGTTACGCAATTAATAAGTTTATTAATGTTTTCTACAGGTTACTCTACATGTAAGTAAAAAAGCAACTGCATATAAACTCTTCCTAATTGATGTAGACTATCTGTCTTCTCGAATTCGTAAAAAGACCCATGCAGATTTTTCACTCTCTATATTGTTCCTAATTAGGGTTTTCATTGCGAACTAACATCGACCGTTATGTAAAATGCACTGCAGCTACTTAAGTGAATGAGTTGGGTTCAAAAATACTAGAAGCGCTTTCTGACTACATCACCTGTAACGTATAATACCACCAAATTTAGGTTTGTTTCGTAATCAAGGGTTTAGGAATAATGTCGATCCGCTAGTTATATACAATCTAAAAGGATGGAACTAAGGGTTTGATACATTTAACGGTGTCATTCTCCCCCATAATTTTAGACTTGTCGAACAGTTTATGAAGGTACTTAACTGCTCGTTAGACACATTTAAACTTCACGAAAACTTTAATGTCACGTTCTCGATCCTGATTAACGGGTCGCTAAAGTACACTTATACCTTTTTCTTTACATAAGTTTAAGGGTTGTCTTTCTTTTTTGTTGGCTTTATAACAGTTACCGATACTACTTACTAATTTGATATTCATTTTGATGGTTTCGTTTAACCGTGTTGATGATTTGTGGCGTCCTAAACCGCTCTATATATGTGGAAGATTCTACGTCGTTTATGACTAACAACTGGATGGTTTGTCAGTTTGAATCTACTAAAGCTGGTTTCGCCCTACTCTGTTGTTCCAGACATTAGAGGTTGGTGAAACCTAAGTGGCTTTTCTGGATTAGAATCCGTTTTTAAGGCTCACAAACCCACCACGTGGATGTGATAGCGTGGGGAAATCTTTCGAACTCCCTTAATCTTGGCACTCAGGCGTCGCACTAGGAGTCACTACCCGTTACACACATACCGGTAACACATAGATTTTCACCCATGCATCCCATAGTATACATATAGGCATATCCACCTCCTTGGGAAGGTAGATGGTCACCACTTCCTTCTTTTTTATTTGCTAATACTTACTGTCTTATGCACTACATACCACTGGAACACATTCGTTCATGCACCTCATGGCATACACATAAGCACTGTTAAGGAGGGTTTGTGGTCACCTCTCCTTAATATTTGCTACCCATTAAATTTTTATTTTTGTTATATCTTCTATCTATTGGATTTGGTCTCTAATTTTATTAGACATAAAACAGACATTTCTGCTGAGGTTACCTTTGTTGACCTGGCGCATACCATTTGCATATACCTGCAAACACAACTACGCAAGTTGGAACTCGTTCAATTCATATACATAAGCATACACATCAAGAAGCTCTTCACTATTTGAAAGCCTCGAGGTTGAAATCTCAAGCGATTCAGGTTCAGCGAAGTGGTGAATTAGTCTGGTCTCTGTCGACCGCCCAAGTTAGCTAGCAAGGCTGCCCTCACTACCCAGTAGCGCCACAAGGAAGCCTTGGGTCTGATCTTACTGCTTTCATCATTCTAAGATTTCTCATTCAATCAACGTCAGATATAAAATTAGTCGACCCCTCAGCGGCAATAGTAATCACACATTTCCAATCGTTTTTGTTATATAATAGGTTCATAAAACTTATCGAAGGACTTACATTCGAAGTAATTGATTATTCACAAGTTGCACCATGTATAGTCAGTACTGTGAACATGATGGATTCTTGAGTGTATGTATTATATTCATTTATTTGTAGCTGACATTTTGGTACACTACTAAGGCACTCACCATATATATATATATATATATATATATATATATATATATATATATATATGACTTTATGAATGGTTCACTAAGTAAACTGGTTAAGGTGTCCTAAAATAAGTAACGATTTTCACGTTTGACTTTATTATATGTGATATGGTGATAAAAATTGTTCTCTTGCAATTTCTTCTACACAACTCAGTAAATTTATTACCAAACATTTTGTAGGCCATGATGAATTTCCTATAAAACTATTTATATCTGTGAGAAAGATTTAGAAAGAAGCTTTTAACGTGAATTTGGTCATACTCAAATTAATGAGATGCATTGTGATATTTTTACAAAATTAAATTTAGGAACTGATAATTCGTCATGAAAAACAAATAAACTTTCTAAAAATACGATCAGTATACGGTTGTAGAGATTGTTAAGTTTAGATTGATATGATGAATGGATCAATGTTAGAACCTGGAAGCGCTGAATGACCGTTTCGTCCGAAGGTCCTAGGTTCGAGTCCCGCGTGCGGGATCGTGGGTGCACACTGCTGAGTTCAATAATAGGACAAAACTGCCGTCCAGTGCTTCCAGACTTTCAATAGTGGTCTAACATTGATTTATTCATCATATAAATCTGAACTCAAAAATATATGACTTCGAAATCATGCGATCATTTTATAATCAGTCACTCTATCTGGTTCTATTTATATCATATACTTTTACCAAAACAATTATTTAATATGATATTGTTTTTCTGCTCTCATATTTCTTTAATTTTAGTCAATTTCAATAGATGTAAAGAAACTAGACGAGAACACTTCAACTACACCGAATATATATTGTCCTCCAAGTTGGGCTTTAAATTGTCCTCCATCTTTAGATTACAAATTAGAAGTTATTAAAAATGGTTTACAACTTTCAGAGAGTACAATTTATTTATCATCTCCTTCAGACACAAATTTGCAATCTTCATGTGATGATGGTTTAAGTTATTGTTTATTTGGTCGTCAACCTCAATCATATTATACACAATCGAATAATATGAATGGACAATGTTCGGTACTTGCTCATCCTTCAATAAGTCGACTACATGCTGTATTACAGTATGGTAAACCACCGCATGCTGTGGGTCATGTATCAGAAAATGAAAAAGACACCACTGGATGGTATTTGAAAGATTTAGAAAGTACTCATGGTACTTTTGTTAATAAGGTTAGTTGTGAAATACAAATATTCTATATCGTAATCTTGATTGACTTCACTCGAATCGCTGAATTTGTCGATTATTATTATTATTATTATTATTATTATTCATTATTCATTATTACGGTATTTTTGATGTTGGAGTGGTGTTTAATACATAATGGATATGATCGCTCTGTTGTAATAAGAAAAAAAATATGCTCTCAAAATGAAATCCGCCCAAAATTGTTGGAAATTATGATAAGTCAAAGTTTTAGATCAATCAGTTAACGATAGTTACAATGATGTAGATCGGATCGATCGTCTAATTACAGGAATGACAAGATGTAGAAAATTAAAAATCAAGTAATCATAATAGACAATCAATATATACATATGGAGGTATGTGTTATATGAATACTGAAAATATTCTTAAGTTTTTTTACCCACGTAGAAAAAACTTTTTGTAGCCTAGCTTCTCCTGCTAATGTATTACTGGTTGTGTGGTATGTGCTACTGATGTCCACAGATATACATAGCATGTACCATTAATTGGAAGTGAAATACTTGGCGGTAGTGTGGAGAAATGACTGACAAGCTTGTTTTGTAAATAGTTTTTAATATTATTTGTATTTATTTTGTCAATCTTTCACTGTATGTATATTTATCATTAAATGACTGTACAAGGTATGTCTGTATAGCAATGTATTTGAGAGCAAGCGACAGTATGTCACGCTATATCAGTAACACAACGGAAAGTGTGTTCAAGGTCATTCACTAAAACAACAGGTACAGTCATTTAGTGATAAATATACATACAGTGAAAGATTGAAAAAAATAAATACAAATAATATTAAAAACTATTTACAAATATGCTACGGGATTTGAATCGAGAGTTGTATCTGTGTACTAATGTGGTGTGGCAACTCAAACTGATGTCCGTACATACGAGGTTCTGCGTTGTTACTGATTTATTGACTGACTATACTCACCCCAACTTGCTACTCGGGTGAAAAGACGGCGATTAAGAAAAACTTACTGGTTAAACTGGACCGCTATACATTGCATATATATATGCGCTAGAACATCAAACCACTAGTGGCGTACGTCTCATTTTTTAGGATTGAAAGCTACTTCTTGGCCAATCGTATGCACTTATCATTTGACCGATCTCTGAGTGACTCTGTATCAGTATCACATATATTTTAGTAAAGTAGATGATTAACCACCGTTGCAGTCATCTACAAATTATATTTGCCCGTACTCCTCTTTAAGGTTTGCTATTCATTCAATCCCAGTATTAACTTTTGGTTCAAATCCGTAAATTCATGTAGATATAATGCTCTTTTTCTTTATTCTAATCATTTTTTCTATCATAAAGCGACGTCTACCCCCAGGAAGATATGTTCGTATTCGTGTTGGTTATGTTTTACGATTTGGTGGTAGTACACGTTTGCATATTCTTCAAGGACCTGAAGAAGACACTGAACAACAAACTTCACATTCTTGGTTCGATTTGAAGAAATCTCATGAAGAGTATAAGATGAATCTTAAAATGGAACGCAATATTTCATCAATACAGAATTCAAATACTGTCAAGCTTGAATGTAACTGGGGGATGTCGTGTAAGTTAAGCTGACTTTTTAAAAATATCTTTCAGGAAGTTATGATATTTTAAGAGATGCCAATATATAAATAAGAATATTTTGTGACAAAAGAAGTAATGTGCAAAATAGATACCGCTTTGGTGACATGGATGAAATGTTATGGTATTTTAAGGCGGCAGCATTTATTGAATGGACTATACTCAATTTTACTTTGTGTGATCTGAATTATATCACCAATGAATACATGAAGTCGTTCTCAGACAGCTATAACTGAATACAAATTATGGTCACATAGATCGTTATATAAGGACAGAGTGAAATAGTTCTCATGGCAGCACTTTACACTGTATCTCTTATGGTGAGACCTACATTAGAATAGGGTATAGCATAAACTAAATTAACATGAATTACTGTGGGTTTTTCTGTAAGTAAATAGTCCACGTTTGTTGGCAGCACTCTGTCTTAACAGTCATACAACTTTCCAAATGCATCAAGTTCTTAGTAATAGAATAAGTAAGGTGGATGCGCACTGCTGAGGAGTCCCACAACAGGACCAAACGGCCGTCTAGTGCTTCCAGGTTTCCAAAGGTGGTCTAACATCAATCGGTTCATGATCTCAATCAAAAACTTAATAATCTCCACAACCCCTATACTAGTAAATGTATAATAAACTGACGGCCTGATGTTAACCAATCAAAATTAAGTGCAGTGATTTATAACTTGAGTGTTATTATTAACGAAATGAATTACCTACTTACTTACGCCTGTTACTCCTTGTGGAGAAGCTTACCAGCACTCTCCATCCAACCCTATCCTGGGAAATCCTTTCCACCTCTTTCCAGTTGTTATTCATCATTTTCATATCTGCTTCTATTTCCCGACGTAGTGTGTTCTTTGGCCTTCGTCCTTTCCGCTTCCCTTCAGGATTCCAAGTTAGCACTTGCCTCGTGATGCAGTTTGATGATTTGCGTAATATATGTCCTATCCATTTCCACCGTCTTTTCCTAATTTCCTCTTCAGCTGGAAGCTGGTTTGTTCTCTCCCACAATGAGCTGTTGCTGATGGTATCCGGCCGATGGATGTTGAGTATCTTGCGTAAACAACTATTTATAAATTCTTGCACCTTCTTGATGATGGTTATAGTAGTTCTGTAAGTTTCAGCTCCATACAGTAGAACCATCTTGATGTTCGTATTGATGATTCTCACTTTCTATTGGTTGAGAGTTGTTTTGAGTTGCGTATGTTCTTCACTTGTCGGAAAGCTGCTCTTGCTTTGCCAATCCTTGCCTTTACATCTGCATCTGATTCTCCTTGTTCATCGATGATGCTGACTAGGTATGTGAAGGATTCCACATCTTCCAGAGTTTCGCCATTAATTGTGATTGGGTTGGTGTTCTCTGTGTTGCATTTGAGGATCTTGGTTTTTCCTTTGTACATGTTGAGGCCTACTGATGCAGAGGTTGCTGCTGCACTGGCTGTTTTCATGTGCATTTTTCGTGTTATAACTGTGGCCTGAGTGCCCTTCTAATGGATAAGTAGTGATAACGCCAATGAGAAAGCAGTGACTTATCGACCGGATCAATGACGCGTAAACCCGTATGAGCTGTCTGGAGTCCTTATTGGTCCCGCTTCCTGTCTAACCCAGCCAGTTAAGTCCAAAACACGAATCCGAACCTCTGCGATACGAATCGTATTTTAAACATACTGAGTTTCTATACCAATCAAACAGACCACAACGTACCAATAAAATATGAAACAACATTTGTACAAGAATTAGCCCGATGTGGCTGTGAATGAGGAAGGTAGTAATTAATATACTGGGTATAACTCAAAATGGTAAAACGTATAATAATAGTTTATGGGTCAAAATAGAGCTTATAATAAGAGTAATATGTATATGCATAGTTTAGTTGCTTAATAATTATAGAATAGAAATATACGTCCATAAATGGATCCAAAAGTTACCATTCATTATTCTTGTCGGGACATAACAGTTCGTGTGTATGGGATAGGAGGGCTAAGTCATCTGCGAAGTCCAAATCGTCTAATTGGTTCTGAGCTGTATTGTATTCCGCGTTTTCCCTCAGATGTCGAGGTCATCATAATCTAGTCATCCACCAGAAGAAAGAGGAAGTGGGAGAGTAGACAGCCTTGTCTGACTCCGGTCGTTACTTGGAGTGCATCTGTCAGCTGTCCTCCGTGCACGACTTTGCACTGTACTCAGTCGTATGAGTTCCGGATAATGTTGGCAATCTTCTCAGAAACTCAATAGTGTCGAACAAGTTTCTATAATATTCTCCTATCTACACTGTCAAACGCCTTCTAAAAGTAAAAAACGCTGATGTATAGTGATGAGTTCCACTTGACTGATTGTTCGACGATGATCCGTAGTGTGGCGATTTGGTCCACCAGGGTGCTTGGTACCTGTGTGGTTGCGCCACATGATTAGACTGTACTATTCATATTGTGGCGTTAAACCTTATATGGTGTCTGGTTCTCCTGAAAACGGAATTGAGCCGTAATTTTGGGCCACATATTTTAAGCCTGGGCGGTGTCTGGCTCTCCTGTTAAACGGGATTGAGCTTTACTGCATGGGTTGTCACGTGAAAGTCTGGTTGGTATCTAGTTCTCCTGATAACCGATGTAAAATTACCCTGGCTCACAAAAGTATATTATATTGCACGAAATGAATATTGGCAATTTTTGGTTCCCAAGATGTTCAAAATATCTATTGTACAACCAAAAAGTGAAATTTAGTATCTATTTAAGCTAAATTACAAAACATTCCTGCTCCCAAGGCAGATTGTGTATTAATGTACTTAATGTCGTTCATTGGGTAATCAAGAGCGTTTAGTGAAGCTAGATAAAATCCTCCCTTTCTTACTCTTACTCTAAATGTCGACCCTACGTTTCTCAAGTTTGTAAACAAAAGGGTGGCAAAGCATTGCATTATAACTGATTTCAGTTCATGTTGAAATCCCTAACCCTAAATGTTTTGCATCATAAGGGAAGTCAGTTTGTTACGAAAACTCACAATATTAGCCAAACTCCTGATATGTGTGTATATGTGTAAAACTGACCCTTTTTCTTAACTACAAAGGATAATTTGACATTTTAGGGTTAATTATTCAGACTAAAGCTGAAATCACACTGTTTTACATCGTTAATCGTTTTATGGCTAGGCACTTTTTCCTGATTAGTTTATAAGTGTCATATAGTCGTCAGTATATTGTACTTTTACCGCAAGTAAATTGACCTTAAACTTTTAAAGTCAAAGATTTAGGAATAATGTTATTCTTTAAGTGTAAAGGAACTCAAACAACTACAGTTTCATAGACTTAAATATGACCCATATTTTTCGTGTGATTCTTGGTGTTACTATTTGGTTGCTCAAGTTGGTGTGGGATGGTTGGAAGTAAGTCGGCTTAACCATTGTCCAAACTCTTTATAATATATTGAATATATGCTCATTGCTTGACATTCGAACTATCTTGATATATTTTTACACGCTCACGATATTCGCTCGTATAAGAGTGGGTAGATAAAAATCTATGAGTAACCAAATTAAGGCGTGGGATCAATCTGTCAAGCAATCGACTGTTGGAATAAGCTGAGTATTTGGATACAGACTATATGTTTGCGATCCTCGTGATAACTGCGACCAGTGGTTGGATACGTTAGGTGACCGTGGCTTAAATTAACCCACAATGTCGCCTGTGCATTCACTTTCTGCCTCTCTTTCGATCTTGAGTTTTAAAGTTATCTTGTAATTTTTTATTTTAAGAAGTTATTCTTTCTTCTCGAATCACTTTGTTTATCTGTACTGTTTTCTACTGTGACTAATACGGTTAGTACTTCTGTTACTTTGGTGTTTGTATTAGTAATTCCATCTTGCTGGGTTGATTTAGTGTAAGGGGTACTCAGGCTGATAGACATATGTTCCAGGTTCTACTTTGCTTATGACTGATAAATTATTATTGTTTCGAAGAGTGACCATAATTTATTTTGGGGATGTAAATTTGGATTTTGGTAGCTGAAATCCCCTACTTAAGGCCTACTTACTTTCAAGAATGTTATAAATGTTTTTGTAAGCGATTACTGCTTGCTTAAATTAATCGTCTTTCATAATCTCTTCCAATAAGTCTTCAGATCCTTGGTTAGTGAAACAAGAAGGATCTGTCGTAACAAATTTGTTTGAATAAAAGATATATATATATATATATATATATATATATATATATATATATATATATATATATATATATATATCACAGCATTTAGTTTATACAAATGTGGTCACCTGGAATACCTTAAAAAATTCATTTCCCTACAAAGTAATGCTAATCTTACTAATATTTATGCTAATAAAAAACAATTTTTATTAAATTTTTCAATAAATTTAATACTTAGTAGAAGATCCTGTCTCTGAACCAATTCCAACTTATTACAATCTGGAACTTGTTTAAGTCATGAAAAATTATATCGTGATGATCCTAAGCGGGCATTGAATGCATATTTTGAACGAGAAGGGATTGATCCTATTCCACAGTATGAATTTGTTGAAGCACCATTCGGCAAACAACATTGTCGAATCGAGTAAGTGTTTGTTGTTTAGTTATTAAATTATGATACCCTTTAGAATTCTCGGAGAGAACATAAGTCAAATATTTTGGACTATGTTTTCTATATAATTCTGATTGAATAGACGGATTATGATTAACAGTAGAATATGGGACAAAAGTTTTATTTCATTCGTGGAATGTATCAATTTCTAGTGAATATTCCTCCATCAGAATACTAGTTATTATTTTCCTACTCCATGTATTCTATTTTGACTAATGCTTAGTCTTCTAAGCGTAGACAATAATACACCTCAACTGGTAAAGTCAACTTTGAGTTGAGGCAAAACAATCTTAACTCCAACTTATCCATTGATTCGCACATACATCTCTAGTGTGCTAATCACACACTCACTGTAACCCGTGAAGGTCGTGGGTCCGATCTCTGAAGACTAGGCATACTGTTGACGAGCCCTATAATAGGCCGAAACATTTATCCAGTACTTCCTGGTTTGTAATAGTTATTTTACTAAGATCAGTCAGTAATGTTAAGCATCAAATTTGTTTTAATTACTTAATACATCTTTGAATAGATTTTACGTTTTCTTTTGTTGTTATTGTTATTAACAAAGATTGCCATTGAGTTCAGGTACCGTGACCGCAGAAGCTCTTGTTTCCGGTAAACGAAAAGAAGCTGTTGTTGCTTGTGCTTTGGAAGCATGTCAACTTTTAGATCGTTTGGGTGAATTTGACCCAGATAAAGGTATGTAATGAAATATAGATATATTTTAAATAATTGTAAATATTGTTTATTAAGTACCAATTGATTTGGGAAATTCATACAATTAAATATGACCAAAATGGCAATGTTTGAAATATACGATGAGTTTATTTTATTTCATTACTTTCTCTCCAACTAAGTGGATACAAGCTAATATGTTTAGTTAGTTTCAATTATTAACGTAATTGAAATCATAAACCGATCTTATATAGACAACCATTGGAAACCTGGAAACATTGGAAGTGAATTTCATCTTTGTACGGGACTCCTCAGCAGTGCTTCTCCAAGACCCTACACGCGAAAATCGAACTCAGGACTTTCGGTCTTGCTCGTGAACGCCTAAACTCTAAACCATCGAGCCGGCATCCAACGTTGTTAATATCTAACTACGATCAATCCACGACATTGTGCGACCATCTTTCATTGTGTTCGGTAGGTAATTAACTTACATCCGAAACGAAGTAACTCCACTAGTTGCCTTACTAGGAAAAATCAACCGTCTAGTGCTTCTAGTTTTTCGATGGTCGACTAACTTAGATCGGTTCGTGAATTCAATGAAAGTTTACAACCGTCTACTGACTATTAACAGGTTATTGATAGGCGAATGGTCAATCAATAACAAACCAGTTTTATGTAATGTGATAGAATTTGAGAATTAAATTTTTGGAAGGTGGTTCTTTTCATAATTGTTTGACGTGATAATAATTTTATTGAGTACTATGACAAATGATATTTGGCATTTAAGAACGGAATAGAGAAAAAGTAAGTTTAATTTATTAGAATGTGATTACAACTAATCGAATGGAAGATAAGTCGAAATATCATCTCAACAGTTGAAGGTCAAATTCTGATTCTTTTTAAATACAAAGATCAGGTTCACGCCTTCTGATTGGTATGGTTTCTATAACATTCCTTAAAGTGGAATTTGACTGTTCATTAATAAATTTGAACAAACTTTTTAGATCGTTGTTGGTTATGAATTATGTAGGGAGTTGTCTCCTCAAACATCTAGGTATTTTGAATGAATGAAAGCCCACCTTTCTCCACCTTTAACGTATACACTTGTACATGTACATCTACAAGTTTGAAACTACTCTATTCATACTACGTAATATCCTCTAGTCCAAAAAATTAATCGCTGATTATTTGAATACATTCTATTTCTATGAATTCTATGCATATTCAACTATTCAAGTTTAGTATTGATAGTACTAAGTGAAAATAATCTTGTGATCGTTTACATGTGTTGTTCTAATTCATATTTACTGTTATTCATTCTTTTAATTGCAAAATTCGATACCATCTTTTTTTCCTTCACTTATCTAATTACTCCATGTTGCCTTCATGGTAATGTTTCTATTTCAAAAAAATATTCTTACAGAAATTTGGACTTTATATTCCCCAGAATTCTTTTTTACTGTTTTCTAGGAAACATTTATCCAACTATTATTTTTAATTGATCTAACACTTTGAAATAATCTCTTCTAGTTCTTTATCTTTTTTTTTAAATTCTAGATCGTTCCACCGCTTCTAAATACGCTCGATCACGAGCTTATTGGGAAGATCGTGACTATTATTCATCTGATGAAGATACATATGTTGATCGAACTGGAGCTGTAGAGAGAAAACGTTTAAATCGTATGCGTCAATTAGGAGTGAATGATAATGATGAAATTAAAACAACAGACGAACTATTGAACAATGATAATGCTAAAATTCATCTTAAAAATGAAAAACGAATATCTCAAAGTGCAAACATGATTACTATGGTATGTTTTGTAATGTATTTTACTCACTGTCCGTGTATGTGTATGTACATGAGCTATCAATGATAATTCAGTAAATATTTTCTGTTTAACGTAGTCTGCAAAGAAAATACTCTTGAAAATAAATTTATTTTAATTCATTCATTCACCTAGTAATTACTTAGCTATGAGTCACACCATAGTATGAGGGTTAACGATATTAATCGGTTACCTAGACAGAAGCTAAGCAAGTTTTCGAATCAGGGACTTAGTGGTCGAAATTCGAACATCCTAACGATTAAGCCACAGTTCCAAAAACAAAATACAAATTTTCTTGTATTATGTAAACAGAGTATTTGAAAAAGTGTATATTTGTTACAATAAAATTTTAGATTGTTCGCTCAACCTTTACATACATATGTTTTATCATTGTATTTCGCGACTTCACTAAAAGGGGTTAGTAACTATTTGTTTATGACTTTGATAAATCCACTAGTTCATTCATCAGATAAATGTTCAGAAGTTTTGCCAGAACTAGTTGACATCCTTGATATGCTAGGCTAATTATTATTATATTGAGCATAATATGCATAATTTCATTTTCGCAAATTTAACTTTGTGGACAAAATTATTTTCTTCAACTTTATGATCATTCATTCAGTTTAAACAAATAGTTTAAAAGAAATTGGACATCAAGCATATAGAGGACATTAGATGCAAAAGTTGTATTTGAATAATCTAGTATAGACTAAAGCTTGCCATTAAGAGAATAAGGATAGTCATGATAATCATTACAACTGATTTAGAATTCATTGTATTGATTTTCCAAAAAAGGTCGCTTTCATAGTTTGTCATTTCTTTTTTCTTATTTTCACGACAGCTTTAAGAGTAAACAAACACTTAAGATTTTGAGGTCCGGTCACTACGCATACAAGATGAAACCACGACATGAATTATCTCGATATTAGGGCGTGTCTTGTGCAAGCTTAGTCTCCACCTATCTCTATTTACCGTGGAGATTAGCGTATAAGATTGAGAAATCACTAATTATGAATAAATACGTTGTCATAGACTGTTTTTCTAATGTGATAGTGCCAAGCATCACTTAAGCCTTTTAAAGCATAACTGAAAACCGCAACAGTTTAGAAAATTGTTACTCATTGGCGTATAATCACTTGATTTGCAATTACTTAGTTGCAAGTTCAAACTTCATCCCATCCAATTAGGCTTGAATAATTGTTCAGTATTATTATCGTTTATGCTTGTTCTGTTAGACTTATACCAATAGCATAAATCCACAATTCGTAAATAAGTTGTTCTGAGCTCATTTAATAAATACAGCTTCGTACACTTTGTTTCAAGCCGTACTTTAAATATGAAGTCTCGTAATACTATCCGGTTATTGACCCCCAAATACCCTGGTACGACCAAAGGTGGGTAGAGTCCACTCTCTATTTCGAAATCCTCTCGCGTATCCACGCGTATACAGTCCTACTCACTATCTTCTCGCGGCATTACTGTTGTTTACAAAATTGAGAGGACGAAAAGCGAATATCCGGTGCCTTAACCAGTTTGGTGGATAATGAGAACCCACTTAGGGGAGTTGGAAAACCCTGATACCGAACCGATGGTGTACATGAACTCCAGTATCCTGAACCAATCGTTGGTCACCGGCCACCATTTGACTGCATCTCCTGACGATGCTTCACTGTCTTATGGATCAAACCTTTAGGTTTAAGGTTTGGGGTGTGGCCCCCTAAGAAAACCTCCTGCTTCGATCTAAGCAACCGGGCAGTATCACAGCCCCTTTGTATCAATGTTTATGTGTTTAAATGAATAAAATCCGGTTATTCAAATCAAGGTAAGTGGAATCGATGATCGCACTTGCGAGTTAGTGGCAGGAAATCGATCACCGTAACCACTGAGCTACCACTCAATGCTATTATTGCCACTATTATTATTACTATTATTATTATGCATTTCTTACGTACATAAGCATCAAATAATCGTGTTATCAACTCTTTAGCTTTCAGAGTTAGAAAAAATTGGTGAAGAGATTGTTTCAATCGAAGAAGAATTAGAAGCTATCAATAAAGGTATATCTTTATTGTTTTTTTTTATGCATTTCCTTTCATTTTCACATACGGTCTTTTCCAAGTACATATTATCCCATCGTGATTACGTCGTCCCTAAATATCATTAAAATAGTATTTTATCAAATACCATTTGTTTGAAATCTTCAAACTTTTTTGACTTTTTACATTGCATATTCTGCATGCGTAGATAGCGTCAAGTCGCTGTTCATGACAGCAAGCTTACCGAAGATAGAGATCGTAAAATTCGGCGGAAATCCTCTAAAGTTTTGGACGTTCATGAAGGGATTCAAGGCTAACATCGCCGACCGAGTAAACGATGACACTCGGCGAGTAATGTATTTGATACACCATTGTGAAGGTATAGTAGAAAATGCTATAGAACACTGTGTTTTACTACCAGAAGAAGAAGGTTACACTAAAGCAATTAGTATTCTACACAAGCAGTTTGGGAGACCACGTGATATCGTGGAAGCATTTTTAACAGAATTACTAGACGGATCATCATTAAGTCGTTTGTAAGATCTGGTCCAGAGTGTATGCAATTATTCAGAGACATGCCTTGTAATTTAGCAGCACAGTCAAAGACTATTCGGACTTTACTTGGCTTTTTAGGGTTGAACACGGGTTGATGTGGAACAAAATACCTTTCTTCCTCGATAGTTTAAAACACTCGAGAAAAATATCCTTTGCTTTCGTGAGTGGCTAATATATTAGCGTACTGCTTACGAAGATGCTCTTCCTTCAAATGGTCTTTTACGTAAGTATATCAGTCGTTTTTCTATTTCACGTTTATTCTTTGGAAGTGAGTGCTAGTCCACCTTTCATGGTATCGGCACTCGATAGTGTCCGTCAAACAATATTGTTTGTTTGTCGGTTATTTCCACGATGACCTGATCGCATAGTGACATAGCAATCTTGTCTGAGTACTTATTCTCGGAAAATTCATGTTCGAACATTCTGAGGATGTCGTCCTCGATGGAACCCTTTGCTTCTAAACAGTTTATGAAGACTGAGGTTGTACTAGCTTGACCTGTTGGCCCAAATAGTGCCCATCCTAGCATGGTTAGCGAAGCGTGAGGTTGTTTGGGCTTCCCAATGCGCTGGTCGAGAACCCAATGGGTTTCTGGAACGTCGACTCCAAGTAACAAACCTACTCTGTCGCAGGCTATAGTAGGTAACCGTACACCTTTCAAATGTTTCCATCTTTCCTGGAAGTCGGTTGGTGGAATTTCTGCTTTTTTAATAGGTAGGTTATCGATAGTGTATGCACCTCCTTATTCGGTTAGTTTTATCTAAAGATTCAATTTCGAAATTAGTAAGTTCAGCGGTCTGAGATGACACTTTGATTACAGAGGATATCTTTAATCGAGTCAGTGTACCTAAAATTCTCATCTACTTTGCTACATCACTAAGTAGTGGTGTCGTGTCTGATCCGTTATCTAACAAGGCATATGTATTCACGTGTCCTGTGGGGCCATGTAACCTGACAGGTACAAATCCCAAATACGTCCCAGTAGAGTAAATAGAGTTGCAGCGTGCTTGTTTAGTATCAGGCTCTGTGTTGTGAAGAATTTTATAATGGCTTCGTTTACATCCATCGACGTCACACAACATGAGTTGCCGACAGTCTGTTGCTCGATGATTGGGCTTTAAGTAATTAAAGCACAGCTTAAACTTCTTCAGTATTTCTAGCCTTTCGTTGTGACTTACTGCTAGCAACTGCGGACAAGATGCGACTTCGTGGGCATCAGAGCAGATTAGACAATGCACTTTTCCTTTACTCGACAAAGCATGGACCTTAGCTCTAATGGAGACAGATTCATTGTTCGATGTCGTCTGAGCTTTGTAGCTCCCACTTGCTAATTGTCCATAAGTATTCGTAGCGATTGACACTTTCTTTTCTAGGAATTGTAGTGACTTGATTTTCAAATAATCACTTTATTATTAATCCTCTTTCTTGCAATTACTCAATGTTTATTTATAATCGAAATGTCATTGTGTAATTATTACGTAACTTATCCACTCGATAAGTATTATTTCATTATTGTAGATCATATATATTAGTTTGAAAATTATTTGTATAGAATTTTTAAGTTTTGTGGAGTTTGTTTCAAGTTGAACATTGATATTAAGTTTATTTAGGTTTTCTGTGCTTTTCTCATTAACTTCTTTTCAGTGTTTTGTTTTATGTTACTTGATAATATTCAGTAAATAGTTTATTCCTAACAATTTCTACGCGTATATTTTGTCGTTTAACATTCTGAAATACTTTCATATACTTCAAACGTTTACTGTATTTATCATTATAATTACTTTCTATCAAGAAGGTACTAATATTATTAAAGATTCTATCTGTTATATACCGCATCTTTATGATATTACAATTTTTTATCCTCAGAGTTTTCACCTAAAGAAGCAAATCCATCACAACTTGACGAATTAGAGGCCTATATGAATGCACTTAAAACAAGTCAGTTGTTTTATAAATAGACTAACAAACTACACTTTTTCTTTGGTAACTTTTTAATTTCTTCTTATATCTATTGGGGAAGTTTTTGGTTATATAAACTCCGTAAAGTAATTGGTAATGAATTATGTATAAATCAATAAATCACTGATTTTTAAGTCTCGTGATGAGCACCAACACTGAAATCTAGATACATCTAGTCGACGTATCCTAAATAGGATGAAATACGCATCTTGAATTCTACTGGTAAATACTATCCAACTTGAGTAGAAGCTTGTGACTAGATTGTAGTATCGTGACAACTCACTCAAGATGAACATAAGCCAACAAAGACTGATCTATGACAGCTTAACATCAAAATTTAGTGGGAAACTCCTAATAGAATGAAGTACATAGCTGTTTTTCCAATGGGCATTATTATTGTTCAGACCAGAAACAGTATTTTAGCTATATTCACCGGTGTTTATCACTTTCTTGCAATTTCAAATGCGAACGATTCTGTAGACTTTTTATTTCTCACGTGTGGAAAAGAAGTCATTTATCTAGTTCGAGATATTATTTGTTATGTAGGGTGGTGTTTGATGGTAGTCAACAAAAAACTCGCTAGGGAACATCAGTTCCCTCAAGACCACAGTAAAAATGTTTCTTATCTATTACCTCCAACCACCTACTTACATCTCAACATTGTGTACGCTATGTCGAGTCACTTAAACTAGTAGCCACACTACAACTTGATAGAATTTGATCAGCACTAAGGACTTGATAGAAGTGACATTAGTCACTACTTAAAGATCAGTGAATTTAAAAAAAGTGTTATTTTGTTACTTACATTACTAAAACAGCAATAGAATAGCTTGTTTGAAATAAAAAAATTTAACTGAATAGTGAAACACTTCTTCCGTTTTTCCGCTGGTCTATAGACTCATCTAAATGTGCACAACGTTCTAAATTAAAAGCACGTCTAATTTCATTACGTCAAACTGAACTGCAACTTTTTCGTCGTGCTGGACTTTCAAGAGTAGGCAAAACTGCGAAACAACTTAGCAATAAACAAAATAACAATTCTGAATATATTTCATCATCCGATGCTGCAGCCGCCGTTCGAGCAGCTCGACAAAAATTAAATAATGATGCTGGTGAACAACAAAGTGAAAATGATCAACTAAATGCTGTTACATCTGAGCAAAAGTAAGTTTTTACAATTTCTGTTATGATAATTATGATATTTCGTTTAAGCAAAACCATTTACAACGATTGACACTAATAAGGGCAACCATCAAAAAGGGATAATATTAATAAAAGTGAGCATCGAACAGGGGAATAAAACTTTTAAAAATTTGGGTCAGTTCGCCGTCTGTCTGTCTGTCTCTACAATGTATCTATTCCCTTACTATTGAATATTAAATTGATCTGATATTCATAGCCTACTTGTATTATGCGATTGATCTATGTCTGTATTAGTGAATATGAACTTTCATTTGACAACACGAATTGTTCGAAATTTTGTCAAACATTTCTGGAATAGACTAAATTATCTCGCTATTTTGTGATTTGAATATTCTTTAATATAATACCCTATTTGTTCGACTAATGTACGTACTATTCCAATAAAAATCAAATGCAACCACAGTTACCTAAACAGGTGTGTTGTTTAAGTCAGATTCTCCAAGGTTTTTATTTCATAAATAATAATTAACTTGGAGGCAGTGCTGACTCTCAATCGATGATATTTCAATAAAAGTTTCAAAAAGACATTCTTTTGGGGGGGGCATTTGTTTGTTATAGAATTTCGTCTATTGACTTCAATTCCTACTTAAAATAGAAGTATGGAGTAACATACTTGGACTAATCAAGATAATAAATTGTTACTTAATCCGAAAAATTACAGTACTTGTTAAAGGTAGATTCTTTATTGAACGTTCAAACAACTACATTTTTGATTATTCATCAACATAAATAGACAGAAGGTAAAGTGACCCACATTTCAAATTTTGAAAAATTTTATTTCCCTTTTCTATCGTTCCCATTATTACTATGGGCTTTTAGATAGTTGTCTTTACTAATCCTTGCGCTTATTCATGCGTGCCCGTTCGAATGGACACCATTTACAACAGCATGTGTAACATGTTATTTATAATAGATGAATTATGATTAGCAGTGGGGAATCCACGAATTTCTTCCGACGGTTATTTACATTATTATATGTTGTAATTATCTTTTACGTTATTTTCATAGGAAGCTTTCATTTTTCCAAACATACTTATGTGTTACAAGTAACAGATACTTCACAAGTTGAAATTTGTAACCAATTCGTATGAATATATTGTAACAATGGAACCGTTTTCTCTAGATAAATCGCTAATTTTAATTTGAACTTCATGCGATTGAACAGTTCTATACAATATATATATTTCGTTGACTTTCAGAGGCTGCCTTACAGTCATGAAAGAGAAGGAACATTGGGAGATAAGAAGTACACTCGCTTTTCTATATATATTCGACTATCATGTAAGGCATAGATTGACAAACACTCGATGTATTTCCTATGTGCGCTTACCTTATATCGCAATAAGCTCCCCCCTCATTGCTCTATAAAAATTATTCTCCTTGTAAATAGCGCACATACACTTATTCTACGAATAAATTATTCCATCTTTTTTGCTAAATCGATCAACAATTTCGTCATATTCTCGTTGAAAAAAACCCTGGGTTAAAGTATTTCTTATTGTTCAGGTTAATTTAATGTGTCACTAAAGTAACATCATAGTCTTACTGTAGTTCTTTTCTTATTTTATATCGATGTACAATCTTAGAATTAAAAATATTCGAGCTGATAGAAATGCATTAAAAAGAAGTCTACAAAACCATGCCAGAGTAAGTATTTAAAGTGTATATTAAATTATTTTAGCAAAAATTATTAACTTAATTTTAAGATATCTGAAATGATCCATTTACATTGAAATAATTGTAACTCATTCACTATGTACACAGTTTTGAAACAAACTTTTAGTGTGCTTGTATATAGAAATCCATGAAAGTTTCGGTGAATCAATTTCTTAAAATATATTTAGAAAACATCAGTATGACGAGGGAAAAAACCGCGAAATTGATTTAGAGGAAATATATGTAAAGGCTTTATGGTAGCAATTCCATCAGTTATAAGTAACGCAAACAATCCGGCACATATGTATCAGTACACGTTGCCACAGCTCATTAGCACATCTGGATGAAATTATCAAGATAAATGTCAGATTAGTAGTAGTAACAATATAAGTGATATTAGAAAAGATTAGATGTAGACAATGTAATTCAAGAAAAGATGATGTATTTTCTGGATAGAAAGTGTAAAATAATTTCCAGACATATGATCTTATAGAAGATAACGAATTAACTTGTCGAAACCATGTCACCCACTGTTTCTAACCATCGTACAACGCCTAACCAAATAGTCTGCATCTGTTGATATGGTTCACTCCAACAGTTTCACGTCTTGGATTAGGCGCATCTATTTCTCCACTAGCAAACATTGTACGTCGAAGTAGGCAGCGGTTATTCATAAGTAACACATGATATTCAACATTTTACAAACAAATAGTAGATAATGTAATTTAGTGAACTCGAATAGAGTTTTTTTTTCAATCCCTGACATGTTTCTCATCATTTATGACTTAGTTAATTGATCTAGGTAACCAAAGGATTCAATGGAATCCTTTCATCTATGACGTTATTTTATACCACAAATCAAACACTTATTTAAACTAAGTATTCCAAATGTTTCCCGACCGAAGCTGCTACCTTGACGCGGTGGTCGGGCTTGCCTATCGTGATGACCCAACTGAGCTATATTGGCTGGAACATATGTTCCTGTAGGTTCTACCATGCCAGGCAGGTCGATTGGAGAACGGTCAGACTAAAAGCAGCAACTCATGGTCTGAGGGCGAAGTCGTACTGCTGACTGTAGAGAGATGTGACAGCAGTAAGGTGTTTCCCTCGGACAACCAGCATCTGCAGCGATGCTGCCTTCCCACAAGGAGGGGTGGGGTTAGAAAAGGTCGACCCTAAAAATGTCACACCTCACCTTACCTCACGGATTTCCGTCTCCGGCGGTAATGCCCTTTGAAGAACGGAGCTAACACGTTAAAAACCTTCCACGAAAAGGCCATGCGCGACCGGCCTCAAGCAGCTGTCCCTTGGGCACTGCGGTCACGCTCCCAGGTCGTTAAGACCAACGCTAATCCAATTTCCTTTTCAGGTTCCTCAAGAAATACCCTTTCACGGTGTGGGCAGCCGGGAAGTGATATCAACCTCATACCCGTAACAGCACACGAGACCAAGTTGGTCACACTCAAATTCCAAATGTTTCAATATTTACGCATACTGCCCTTAACAAACTTTGTTAATAAAAATATCGTCTGTGCATTGAAAATCGATTAGAAGATAATTAGACATCAAGTCAATATACTAAAAAACTAAATTAAGAAGTTGCTTTCGAACACTCATCTTCATCAGTTCAGTAACATTGAGACCATAAAATTCTTAGATTAACATTAATAGATGTTGTTAAAACGAATCCATTGAAGATGGTTTATGTATCTATCTTTTATTATGATTTAACGATACGGACCCCCCCCCAAAAAAAAATCGAATTTGAAGTCCTTCGTAAATCCTTGTACGCGTCAGTCAATCAGATTGTTAAATAATTTTTAAAATGCAAGGGAGAAGATTTCTTACTCGGGTGACTATTTTTAATGATATTACACTTTCTAATCTAAATAGTTTATAATTGCAAGTATTTCTTTATCCTTATGAAACACTATCGTCTATTTGAGGTAGGCACTTGATAAGTACATTCAGAATAACAATCAAAATGCTCCGCGACTAAAATACACTAGTTCCAGTTTGTATTTTTTATTATCATGCTTAATGATTGAAACCTTGGTGTTTAAAGCTAAAGCTTACTGAATCCAAATTTTGGTGTAAATATCACCAGTAATGAGATGCAGATAAATGCAGCTGACTAGTCTTAGATAGGACAAAATGCACTCTTGATCAATGCCACTGCTAGGTTAATCTCTATTGAATTCAAATCATAAAGCGTCTCAAGATTTTTGAATAAGTGATTATTTTCAAGTTATGTTCCACCTAAATCATACAATTTAGCTACAAATCTACACCAGTTACTATTTCACTTCATATTATTCTTTATGCATTTTTTCTAGACACTTTATGTATCTCAGAAGAAAATTGAAATAGATAGACCATTTGAAGTGGAAAATGATGATGATGACGATGGTGAAACCAATGTAAATGATATTGGTGACAAAGAAGAAACACAACAAATGGAAATGAGCATAGACAATGAAGAGAATAACGTTGATACCGCTATTTCTATTCCTCAATACAAATCGAGCAAATGTCCAGATTCTAGTTGTCAATCAACGTTTCCCCTTATTTCTACTACTGCTACCATGAATATTGTAAATAATAATGACAATCCTATTGACGATTCCAGTGCAACTATAAGTAATGAACAAGGTGTGGAAGAAAACTCAACTGAAATTAAATTATGTAAGTTTTAAACGATTCACGAATTGACTCTTTTTTCATGTATAGCCGATTGGATTGATATTTATCTACTAACAAAGAGATAAGTAACAATGAACAGTATACATGAATATCGAATATGATTGCTTGCTACTGATTTACCTTCCAGTAACTTATATCTTACTCTGTAGTAATCACATAAAGACAGGTAGTAAATGTTGATATATAATTAATCTAATTTCCACATTATAAATACTTGCATATAGTGTCCGAGGTCAGTGTAATAACCGTGATATTTGGTTAGAGACTGTAATTGATACACCTTAGAATCTATCAGAGTGGTACAGATGGATTCGTTCTTTATGTTCCTCTCGAAGTTAAACTCCAGTATACCCTCATAACATTTCTTTTCTGGAACTATTTTTCCAATTTTTGCTCCTTCTCATCGTCATTCCCTTTACACATCGATTACTTCACTATTTGTTAATCACATCTTGTTTTGTTGATTTGTTATGATAACACTGGGTGATGTAAGTTTGTGTCAAGCTCTACATTGATTATGACTGTCTAACTGACCACCATATTCACTTATGGTGCATAAATTTAACCTGACGTGTTAATATTGGAAATAAGACATTATTATTTATTATTTTAACAGAGATATGAACGACAGTTATCACTTTTCAGTTGTCCACTTCTTATTGAGATACCTAAAAAGGAGAACCGGTGGAACTATAATTTATGGAAGACCTTCAAGAGATGCTTAAGTAGCTTTGGGACAATTCACCTGCATACTAGGGTTAAAAGAGGGTTATAAATAAGTATGAGGAATTACAATTAAGAATTAGCGTTAGAACTTAAGGTTAGAAATGAAAGTAAGGGTATTCACCACGAACTAATATCAGCTATAATGTCGAAATACTATTTAGCCATATGAATGAATGAATTTCGCCCCAAAACCCAAGACCTGAAGTCTGATTGGCTCGTCTAGTGCAGAAGACGCTGGATCTTGGGATAGAGGAAAAACAGCAAACTAAGATAGGTAATAATCAGTCAGCAAACGTAATATGGAAATGTAAATGAGGAAAAATGTGATCAAGCTTTTCGTTACAAGAAAGAAATTAGTATTGTTGACAAGAGTTATACAATTTAACGTCACTCTAGAATCACATATTTGTGTTAGGTCCCAGATTAGACATAATTTTAATTAATAAAAGCAAATGTAATTATTTGCTCAAAACAATAATTTACGCACATTTAATTTATGGCATGAAGTGATACTACTTATTTGGTGAATTCTACTAAAAACCACAACTTTACTACTAGTAAACTGTACCTTTAATTACATTGTCTTTTCATGTATTCAGATGTCGATAAAAATCAACAACCTTCCAAGGTGTTGGGACCAACTTTGCCTCAGTCTCAATCTCAAAAACCTTTTGTAAGTGATCTCTTTCATTTACTTACTATTGTCATAATTAATTCGTTTTCTTTACAAACTGTATTCCATCGTAGTGTAAGACTCTTCTTCACAGTTTAAACTTGCGATTATTTCAGTGATCTTCACTACGCGGTATCTTAAGTAAATCACATATATAACATTCACATCATACTTACTTCAACAATACTTTAAAATGAAGCTGAAATGTATGTATTCTTTCTTGGAACTCATAGAATAATTCATATAAATGGACAATACCGTTTTCAATGAAATTTTTATTAGATTTTACTCTAATATACAATTATTATTTATATGATGCATATATGAAAAATATTAAGCCAAGTGGAGTAATTCACTGCTACTTCACCATGTATAATGGATTTTATTGTAACTTATTCACCAGGTGCTTTTACTTGATGACTGAAATGTGCACGAAATTCAAGTTCAAAAATAACGATTTATCTAGAGAAAACGGTTTCATTGTTACAATAATTTTCATATCAATTGGTTATAAATCTCAACTTGTGAAATATCTTCTACTTATAACACAAGTATGTTTGGAAAAATGAAAGCTTCCTATGAAAATAACGTAAAGAATAAATACAACATATAATAATGTAAATGACAGTCGGTACCTGTCTAAAGTCAACGCTGATCAACTATAATCAAAGATAAAAAGCACAAAAATATGAAATATTTCGAATTTCAACAAAGATACAAGATACGTGCGTAAACTGGAAGTACCTGTTACAGTTGTCGAGAGAATATAACGATAATAATTAAAATGAATATTATTATACTGAAGAATATTACACGACACCAACCATACATTACATACCATATGATCCAAGTTTATTAGAAATGAAACTAGTCATTGAATATTAATAAGTAGCATAAAGCAATACACAAGAAATTAAGTTGGATAAGGGAAGAACAAGGGTTGTAAACGAACTGAACACAATGGATTAAATAAGCATTGGATTGAATATTGTTCGTTTGTACGTGTAATTCTAATTTACAACACAGTGTTGTTGCCTTCTCGTGGCGGGGGTGTTTTTTACGAAATTGAGAGGACGAAAAGCGAATGTCTGGCGCTTTAACCGGGTTGGTGGACATGAAAAGTCCACCTAAGGGAGTTGGTAAACCCTGATTCCAAACCAGCATGGGCTCCAGTATCCTGAAGGAACAAATGGCGTATGAACCAATTGTTGGTCACTGGCTACCATGGGACTGCATCTCCTTACGATGCTCCACTGCCTTGTGGATCAGACCTTTGGGTCGAAGGCTCGGGGAGTGGCCCCTAAGAAAACCACCTGCTTCGGTTCGGGCACCCGGGCAGTATCACAGCCCTCACACATATCACATGGGATTTGTGTGGCGCATATGTATTTGGTGCCTTCTTGTACCAATATCTATGTGTTAAGATAAATAAGTAGCAGGTGCCATACAAATATTGCTCGCATCTGCTGGGATCACTGGGTAAGTCATAGTGAGGTTAGACGCAAGGTATTAGGGGATGATGGTAAGTCAGTCTACGAGGTTGTAAATCTTCATCGACTGGAGATAGTTGGGCCACGTGTATGTATGCCTGAACACCGACTATCACGATGCGAATGGTAACTAGTTTTGGAGACGGTTGGAAGAATGTTAGGGGCGGTCAAACCAAACGTGGTATCAATCCATGAAGCCACTAACTTCTGTTCTGAGCCATGATGGTAGGTTCAGACTACTTGGTTTGGGTCCGCGTGACTATCGTAGCCAATGGTTGGAGACTGTGTGTGGCGTGGCTCAGAATCGATCATAATGACGTAGGTGTATACACTTTTTTTCCCTTAAATCGTGAGATTAAAATTGCATTATACGAACTAATCCTTCCCATTCCCCCTGTATTATATCCTTGTATGCAATCTTTCCTTTATATATTTCTACCATTGAAGTAACTAGTTCTATGAATTTGGTGTTCATCTTGTTGTGCTAATGAGGTGTGACAACTTGGATCGATGCATATAAGTGCCTGGTCTTACGTTGTGACTGAGTAACACTGAAGTAAAATAAATAAAGGTAGGAAAACGTTATTTGTCTATTAATTAAAGGGACTAATAAAATTGGCGTCGATAAACATACTTAGCAAATTTTTTAATAATCACTTTTATTATCATTTTGATCACAAAACAATTATAGTACAGGATTAGAAATCAATTCGCCGAAAGAAGAGGAAACTGTTGTTATTGAATTAAATCTTTCTTATTTTACAATTATCTTAGGATTAGTTTTCAATTACAGTTGATATTCGTCGTGTTCACCGTTTCTACTATACCATGTGATTTAGTAATTCAAGCTGACACACATATTTACAACAACCATTAAAATAAATTTGACTGATTGGCAGAATTCATTCAACTGAATTTAAGATAAATCGGATCAAATTTATATGAATTTGCAAGTTAATTGGAGGAATCGTAATTTTTTCGAAACATAACACTTTTAGTTATTCCCTAAATATTACATTATTCCTATTTTATTTGTATAATCAGGTCAATAAGAGGATAAAAAATTATCCAGAAAATGATTCTGACGATTATGTGGAATGGTTTCCTCCATCAGGTCAGTAAATATTCATATTTAATTACCATCATTATATATATATACTGTTGATTTAACCAATTAAATTTAAGGGCATACCCTACTCCCAGTCAAAACTGTTGATATTTGCATCATTTAAGACAAAGGTTTCTAGTTGGTACATGCCCTAGTTTATCGAATAGATTCAAAAATATATTGTTAGTTTAATTACCAGACAGTAAATAAAACTAATAATCAAACGTTAAATATTCTGTCCTTGCAAGTAGTGTGTGAAACGAGGCATGGAATTCAGATCCGGCAAAACCAATAAAAACTGAACACAGTGTGCACAGAACTCTTCCCACTAGATGTAATGATCCATGCCTTCCAAATCAGCAAAAAAATGGTTGAGAAACCAAAAATTTTAAGAGCATGACTGAAACAACTCACATCTTAAAGTACAACATCGTCGAAAAACGTTAACGAAGCTATAGGTCACCAGTGAATATCACTGTTTCCGTTGTGTAAACGAGTCTTCGATGTAGGTATAGCTTCTACATTTCTGTTATAATTTGTCGTTTGAATGCTTATTGTCTCGGCTTTTTTAATGCTACTTTTTGTATCTGGTCGTCGCTGATCGTTATGTCGGAAATGCTTATCAATCATACTCAGAACGAGGGACCTATGCAATTCCCACGACGCGAAAGTAGAAACACAAAGACTGGTATAGGTGATGATTTATCAACCCCAAAACACGACCATGACGACTCTAGTCGAAAAACACACTCATTTCTGTATTGATTGTGCACCCATTTTGATTAAGAATTAGAATGAAACCACATATGTAACCAATCACATACTGAAGATAGTTCATGTCAATGGAATACAAGAATATCGTACATCATAAAAGAAACCTAATACTACATTGAGTAATCATCACATTGAATTAAAACGGAAGTAATGTTGAATAAAACTCATTGAGTAAATCAATCGAAAATCGACTTTCCTTTCCATCATATCAATTCCCCGTTCGATACTAAACACATTACAAACGAATCTGTATAATCTGTTCCTTCTAGACTAATCATTTATTCCTAACAAAAATAGAGATGTTTTTTAGTTTTATAAACTTAGTATATGGTTGTTGACAAAAGAATAACTTCCATATAAGTTTAAACAAAGTCCACTTTTCAGTTGTTAAGTATTTGTTTTTTACTATCATTTCATTTGGGTTTTTCAGACCAAAGTGGGGATGGTATCACTTCTCTTAATGCTAAATATGGATATTAAATGCATGAGGACAATACAATTCAGATTTCTTGAAATTAATTATGGCATGTGAACTACAAATTAACTCTTTGTAAATGTATGTACATACAATCCTTCCCTGTTTTTGTGATTAAACTCTTGAACACAATAATGATTGTTTTTATTTTGTATTTTATATCAGTAAATGAGAAATACAAGATAATATTAAACATCTAAACGAATTATTCTTTACAAAATTATACTACTTTGTTGTCGATTAATATTTTGGAAAACATATCATACTCAAAAGATATCCGAAAATGTTTGACAGACAACAGGGAAAAACTGCTTTAAGTATGGTTTATTATAATTGAGAGGTAAATGTACGGTACTGGGGTATCGTCCTTTAAGGGAAAACAAAATACTTATACCATGCATGTGGGTTGCAGATAAACATGTGAGCATGGGCTGGCTAATATGCGTATATAAAAAGTAACATGAATTTATAGCGTGAATATGTGGTTGAAGAATTAACATGTATGAATAATGTATGTAAGATAGGAATAAACATGTTAAATTATACTAGATTGGTGAATGCTACTGTTTATTGTATTGTCGTTTGTAGAAGGTGGCAAGTCAGTATAGTACTTGTCGTCGATATCATGAACAAATGCATCGAGTTCCCGTATATAGCCTCAGAATGAGGCTTATTACGAGCAGATCGTGTGCATGAATTCCTGTCGAACATTGCGGATAGCCCACTACACTTAGCGTATTGGGTATCAGGACCTAGTTATTACTTTATGCTATCGTCTAAGCAGATATTTCGTCAATGATAGACTACATTATGACTTTTGAATATTCACACCCCATTAACACAAAATCACATTCTTTTCTATGCAATTGTGATAGGCCTTGCTTAATAATTGAAAGAACCGTGAAATCACTTAATATCACTTTTAATAATCAGTACTTTAACGCTTCAAGCGAGGAAAATGCTACTAGTGTGGTGCATGTTATATATGTCTGTCGGCATAAGTAGTATGTAACGCCAGTTGGAAGTGGAAAACCTGGCAGAAGGCTAAGATCGAGTTGAAGGGAATAGAAAGGAACTGTGAATTTAAAGAATCATGCAGAGTGTGAAGGACAAATGGTGGAAATTTGCAAATGATGTATTCAATTTATGGTTCTGTAATTTTGTATCAAACAATAAATCGGTTGTCACCGTGTTCTCATCACAGCACTAGAAGTAATATGCTCATGAATAACTTACCAGTCGTTGTTAGTAAATTAGACGTTGATTGTAATCTAAGGATATCGCAACTATTAAATCTCATTGTTAGAAAAATGGTAATAACTGCTCATATTATTGGTGCTCCTAAGGTCGTAATACTATTAGACATTTCATATGTGAAACAGTTGCGATTAATTGTATTGGATGACCCTCAAGTTATATCGTAAATTGATTAAACTTGAAACTGTACCAGAGACTTGAAGGTTCTGGGTTTGATTACTGATTAAGGAGATGAGCGCGCACTACTGAGGGCCCTCGTACTAAAATGAAACAATTGTCTAGTTCTTCCTGGTTTTTGATAATAGCTCAAAAGGGATCAATATCTGTGAGGAAAACAACCTAAAATTTATTAATTCTCACCAAAATAATCAGACAACTCAATTCTCAAGCATAAGATAAAATCTGGAAATAAAAGGACTTTTTATTAATAATTAATTTTCTGTTATAAAATATACATTTTTGAGAAAAAAGATACACATTAATATTTAAGGTAAACAACTATCCTCAACAATTTCAGTTCTTGGATAATAAACTTTGAAAGTATACTTTTTCTGGAGGCCTGACAATTCATTGGAATATTCCATATGACCAAATCGACCTGGATTAATAAAACGACAATTACCAGTGGTCACTAATCCTGGTTGTGAAGCATTTAAATTGGCCAATGGTTCCGGTTCAATAGCGATAACTAAATTAGGCAATGGATTTAAACTTAAAGCTTGGTCATAATACCAATAGACAGGTGCTATATGACCTAAAAGTGGTAAGAGATGTGCTTGACTAGCTAAACAACGTGCAAGGCATTGACCTAAATATTCCGTTGTTGTTTTATGCTTCTTCGAAGTAGTATCCTGTTTTATTGATGAAGCATTACTACTAGTGGTAGCAACTGCTTCACTATCCATATCAACCGCCGTCTGAAATGTAAAAAGTGGCAATGTGTAATATGCATTCACGAAACGATATTCTATGGGAAAAAGTAGCATATAGAAAAAATAATGGCAGATTTAATTCTTTGACACCGGTTGGCTTTCTTGAACGTTTTTTTTTACAAAGCTTCATAAATAGACAAGTAAATCTTCCATGTGATCATGAATATAGAAGAACAGTGAAAGACAACTTGAGACATCAATAATGTGAACACTATATAAATCTGTAATTGAACAGTAGTCAGCCACGTACAAAAAGTATCGAGAAATTCATTTGACAATAATCACTTAGACTCGTAGTTATTAGTTGCTATTTACTCGCAACTTCTTATTGAATGAAATTCTGCTAAAAGCACTATAAGTGCTTTTTGTATACATATAACAATAGAATAATTCTTACCTCAGAATTTTCTCTTGAAGTAGAACTTTCAATCTTTTCACTTGTTTCAACATACGAATCCAAATTGTTTAATGTAGGTAGATGAATACAGTGTCTAACTAATAGACGACTATAGTTAACACGGAAAATAACAATTTCACGAGTGTATAAACGCAGTCGACATGGATTTGATGCTAAATGTAGCCACGGTGGACAACTGGATGAAGAACGATCTTTATTATCAGAAATTAAATCAATGCCTAAACCAGGTCTTGGTAAAATATGCTTCGGAGCATAGACAGGATCTTCAGGACCAGGAATCAGTATCAATTTTGGTGACTGGTTGGATTGAGAGGTGTGTTGAGACTCTGAATCTGGAAAGTTATTCTTGAAAATTGTGATTAGCTGTCGTAATAATCTTCGTAGAATTAACCTCTAATTGAAAATAGAATTATCAGTACTACATTTTCGTTTTATGGATCCTTTAAAATTTAACAAACAAAAATTCAGTATACGGTGTCAAAATAGATGCACGTACATTTTTAAGACAGAAAGACTGTAATCAATACAAATCTATAATCAAGGTGTAAGAAAACCCGTAGAATGAATGGCTAAAAATTATTACATTTATGACACCAACAGATATTAGCCCAGTGAAATAATTCTTTGTTAGGGACACTCAGATGTGCAATTGAAGTATCTGTTTTATAACAAAATTTTCATATAAAAAGCAAATTAGCTGGCTGTAACAAACATTTCTGGAATACAACTTAAATTATTTTTAATGAGGGTTTGAATAATCCTGAATAACAGCAGCAGGACAATTCAAGCCCTTATTAATAGTAAACATAAGCATCATATCCATCGAGTAATTTAGCGTTTATATGGACAAAGTTGCTAAGTGAATTACGTTTTGGTGTTTACAGCTAAATATACTACGTTCAAGTTCAAGTGTGAACATCAACATTCGGATGTCCGTACATATAATCGGAATTATAAATAGGATGAAACGCGTGTATTGTATGCCACTGTAAATCACCATCCAAAAATTGGAACAGTTTTTAGAAAACAACACATACAACCAGTACTTCATATACTCAAAAATTATGCTGTATAAAATCAACTATTATTTATGACTGAGTATTCTGGAGGCACTCCAGCATGAAACAGCGGTCCCATGTTTTCTAATTTTCAATGATGGTTTAGCTAGGATTAGTATGTGTTGTAAACTATAGAAAAAACCACCAGTTGAATAGAATTAAACCAATGAAACGTGATAAACTTCAAGTAATTTTTAAAACATTATTTGGGATTCTATACACTTCTTTTTTTACCGTTGGGGGTATAATTTAAGGGGTCTTCTTGTTGTGGATTTCCTATATCCAGTAAGATGCAAGCAAACGCGTGCTCGAACTATAATGCGGACCAATCTGAACATGTACCCCAGAATGGTCGGTATTCTACTAAGCCTCTCCACTGGTTGCTAACAATATGGTCTATCACTGACGTTCTGACGTTTCCATGTCAGATCTCTCTCCTTATGCTTAAAGTTGTTGCTTGCCAGGAATAAAATTGTCTGAGCTACGAAACCGGAAGACAAAATTAAACACCTTTCGTTTTGGTTTAGACTATAACCATTTGAAGTTGGTCTAGATAAATTTATTTCGCTCTGATATGGAGGCATTCATTCAAATCATAATGAATGATAATAAAAGGTTACGAATCCATACAATTGAGATTTTACAAATTTATCTACATAGAGAATAACCCATTACTTACACGTTCGGTGCACGTTTTTCCGATGGAATCAGCACTTAGAAAATTACCACTTAATATAAACGCAACTGGAGCGCACGATGAATAACCACTGAAAAGAGTAGTCAACTGGTCTAAAGTATCTGGTTTGTCCAGATGAGTTTCTCCCAAAATTACAAGCATAGCATCTGAACCAGCCTAAAAGATAGAATCAATAATATAGCGGATAACAGTTTTTTTGGAATAATCATATTATTTTAATTATGAAACAAAAATCTGTTTAAATGAATAACATGAACCGAGGAATTACTAATTTATTGACTGAATATGAAACCTGAATATTACAGCATTATATCAATTACATTTAAGCCATTCTGGGGAGGTTTTTTTAAGACATTCATTTTCTTAATCTGATAATTTTTGGTGAAAATCGATAACTTTAACACATTTCATTATGAAAACAATGACTTTTATCGCCTATTCCAATTAGTATCGATAAATTAGTTGACGAATGAAAGGTTAGTATTTATATTATAAAAATCATGAAGTGTATAACATCCTTCCAATCCAAGATTGTTTCCTTTCCCGACCACATTGACTTAGATGTGAGATATCATGATGACCCAATCAAGAAATATTGGATGGAACATTTATTCCTTTAGGTCCTAACTATACCAAATAGGTTGATTTAAAAGCAGTAAAGCAGTATTTTCAACGCTTAGTATCCCTCATTATCATTGCTACTACATTATTTCAACTCCTTCACTATTCAACTTGTCAATTTCATCTAATTATGCTTATATAGTAAAGTAAATTAAGCCAACGCATATTCATACCAAGGTCTGTGTCACCTATGATTTAATAGTAAGGCTAAGCGCAATAAACTCGTAATACAAAATCCAAATCATACTGCTGAACAAATTAAATTTGTGAGTTCTATGAATTATGAAATCATTACCTGAGTAGTTGTCAAGAGTTTATGCATCTTTGTATCTAAAGATGCTGCAGGGGAATCATTAGTATCACAACCACCGAATGGATTACTGACAGAAAAAGCACGACGTGAAATTTCCGATGATTCACAAGGTGGAAGACCAATACCAGTGACGTATAATATTTTATCATCATAAAAGCCTTCAATTAGTGCAATGGATCCCTCAGGGAGTAGTCCCTAGACAGCAAATAATAAAATGCAGTATATTTTACAAAAAAATACTCTGAAAATATTATTCATTAAAAGAAACTATTCAGCATTTTATCTGGAACATTCTATCTTGTTTACCGTCACTTGACAAGCAACTGGGAATACTACATTCACTTGGCTTTTTTAATGCAAAAGTAGCTTTAGTTTCAGAATCAGGTTTACAGTAATGAGAGAAAATTACAAGTTCCAGACATTTATAGATGTGTTTGCTGAACACGTAGGAGATATTCATAAGACTAAGCAGACCATTGAGTAATGATTGTCATATTTAGTCCAACATGAAATGGGCATTCGCCTAAGTCATATATTTGTCGGTTCCAGAAGTTACCTAAGTAAGGAAAAATCAATTTCCATATACTTTTATTATAGTGTCAACTGAGAAAAAAAGTATGTATATATATTCGTGAGGTGAATTTTATAAATTGAACTGTCTCAGTTAGAGACTAGTCAAATAATATATATTAAGAAACAACAGTATCACTTCCTGACAAAACTGAAATCCATGTTATAGAATGGTTTGTAGAGATTGTTGAACCTCACAATTCGCATCTCTAACTGATCTTAGAAAAATACTGACAACCCGAGAGTACTGGAGAGTAATGCAATGTTGCACGAATTCCAAAGAGTAATTCCCGTAAAAAGCAGTGACCAGTGGATTTCAACCACTAATCACATTACAAGACATATGAAAAATCGTGAATTGGTTGGAATTAGAAATAAAAATCATTGGATACTGACTAAGTGGTCTTACATTTACAATCTCGCCGTGATACTAAACGTCTTATGTTCGATCCCCAGTGTGGTTGTGAATCCGCATAGTTGAACATTTCAAAAAGGCAACAAAACACTTGCCTAGTGTGATACGTTCGTGTGCTATGGTGATAATTCCCGACTCCGATTTCAATACCGTGAAAAACTGCTTCTACCCTCTTTCATTCCCTCCCCCAACTAAGATAAAAATATCAGTTTCGTAGATGAAGTTTTTTTTACATTGAAACGAAATAAAAACTAATCGAAATTATATATCAATTAAATAAATTACTGGAGTAATTAAACTACGTATTTGTCATTAGCAAACATCATCGTAAAAATATACTGTAATTCCATGAGTTCACGCCGAACAATAATTTGCTGTGAGACAATCCCAACTTAATCGATATTGATTCGCTTCTTATAAGTTGTAATTTGAGATCATATATGCCCAACACAGTGTCTCATGATTCTCAATAGTTGTTTAACTAAGCTCAGTTCACAGAGTAAATAAAAATCTATGTTATGATAATTATTTGTATTAACAAACAATACAACAGTCACAAAAATGTCTAGTTAGGTTTAAAATGGTATTGACTTAGTTGTTTTTAGTCAAAACTAACATGAACACTCTTTGCCTTTTTACAGATTTGATTAACGAAACTACTGTTTAGTAACATAATTGCAGTATATAAATCAAGATTTGCATTGCAAACATTTTAGGAGAATTCAGTACCAAACAGTCAAAATGCCATAAAAGAGGTAGGATTTGTTACGTCAAATAAAGAAACAATTTATTGTATATCAGTGAATAAATAAATCGTGAAAGAATACTCGGGTATACAGTTTTACTTATGTTATTCGATGGGAGATCCCAAAAAACAGCTTGTGATAGAAAATGGACTACTAAATTGTGCAGTTTGTGGATAACCAATAAATAACAGTCAACGAAAATAGATTTTGTACGGAACTCTTAGTGTTACAAAACATTTGTTCCTACAGGATCCTGGAGCCCATGTGCACCATTTGTTTGGAATCAGAGTTTTCCAACTCCCTCTGTATCCACTATCCCCGGTTAATGCTCCAGGTATCCATTTTTTATCTCCTAACTGCCATAAACAATATCATGCGTTATTTCTTGACACTTAGACTGAACGAAAAAGATAAGTGGTCAGTTTATGACATCGAGTCCTGATGTGGTTTGATACATTACGACTCCTTGGTTGGAGTTCGGGAGATGATGCACCCTAACGGTTTGAAATATCATCAGGATTGGGTCGGAATCAAAGCCGATGGAGACTGTATCGTAGTTTCCTCTTGTATTCTCAACAAAAATATGAAACCGCCTGAAATGAAAGTCTACCTCAGTTACATTGTTAAGTGAAATGTATCTCCTATTACAAATCATTCAAGTTCACTTATACTTCCACTGCGATTGCAATGATTACCTCCTTTTTTCTGCACTGTATACCACTTTTGATGTCCAGTTGTACCAAATTTTGGTATATTAAAGAGAACAGAATAATATATGTGAAAGAAAAACCGATTAGATCTCAGAATAACTGACAGTAAAATATCTACAATACAAAAATCTCACTTTTATTTATTGATTGAATACTGCGACATGTTTTTATGAATTATCTGAATAAGTAATGTTTATTGAGAAGACACTAGCATTACAAACAACCTAATCTGGGTTCATATAGTACATGTAGAAACCAAATTAAAAACACTGATGAAAAAATAAGAACGGTATACAATTTTCCTACGACAAATGAGTGAAAACAGTTGATTTTCTAGGTCGTGAACATCTTTAATATCAATTTTTAGACAATAATTGTCTTAGACCATTTCATCTAGTCTGCATACATATATTTTAGCAAACCTCACCTCATGAAAAATAGCTTGTTGTAAATTCAATTGTACTATCCCTGATGGATCTTCGGCATACCATTTACCTTCACGAAGTTGACTGATTAGTCCTAATACAACAGCTGAATCTATTCTTGATCCAGAAGCAAGTAAATATTCAATCGTCTAAGACGATAATTTGTACTATGAGACCCATCCAAAGCAGCTGTTTGAGAGAATAATTGATGCCGCGAAATTCTCTGATATATAACCTAAAATGCAGACTTTTTTAAAAATTGGGAGGATGGAAATCTTAAAAAAATAGTTATTCAATACATATAAATTACGCTAGGTATCATCGTCTTTGTTAATGCTGAGTAACTCAAATTACAAGATTTCAAAAGCAGTAAGAGCCCAAACATCTGAAGGCAATTATACGGAATAGCATATGAGTTCCTTTCAAACATAAAGAATATATACTGTTAAAACTATTTTAGTAGTGGTGAATGTTCCTGTACAATTTATATAAATATAGAGCGCAATAACAGTTGACTGGATAAAGTTTGCACATAAATTTTGAAGAAAATTACTAATATTCTACAAGTGAATTTGATCAATGTGATAGTTAACATCACGCGGTGATATCAGCTGTAGAACTATTAGGAGCTAGGGATAACTAAACAGCTACTTCCCCCTAATTTAGGGATATTTAGAAATGCGCACTTACGATGTGTTACGAAAATGAATTTAAAACTCCTAAGTTTACAATGAGGATTGGTAATTACACCTGGTTTAGTATAACACTTACTTTATTCCTACAGCCTAGAACGAAGTGCGATCACACCCTACAACTGAGTGCTTGGTTAGCAAACTAGCCAAATGTTCCCTCAAACTTTACCAATGTTATGATGTATCAACAGAAACACAACTAACCTTAATTTTAAAACCATTGTACCACAAATTGACCATCGCTCTATTATCCAGAAAGTATACATGTGGACAAAAGATAGTTTGTGTTGGAATAACTTTAAACTGAACGTCCCAGCCACTGCCAGGGAAGTTCTAATCACTACCTTCGAGCGGCATTAGTTGTTTACAAAATTGAGAGGATGAAAAGCGAATGTCCGGAGCTTCAACCGGGTTGGTGTACACGGAGGACCCACCTAGGGGAGTTGGGAAACCCTGATAGCAAACTAATGGTGTACATGGGCTCCAGGATCCTGATGTGACAAAAGACGTATGAACCTATTGTCGGCCATCGGCTACCATGGAACTGCATCTCCTGACGTTGCTCCACTGTCTTGTGGATCAGACCTTTAGGTCGAAGGCTCCGGGTGTGGCCCCCTAAGAAACACCTGTGTCGGTCTGGCCACCCGGGTAGTATCACAACCCTCATACAAATCAATAATAACTACCACTAGCCTCATTGTTACTGTGATGCATATGCATTTAGTGCCCCCTTGTACCAATGTTTATGTGTGCACATAAATAAATAAATTGGTGATTATATATCCAAAACGTGGCATCAGTGCTTGAAGTCACTAACTCTTAGTCTGAGCCATGTTGGTAGATGCAGACTACCTGGTTGGGGTCCGCGTGACCATCGTACTCAATGGTTGGAGACTCTTGGTGACATGGCTCACAATCGATTACAATGGCGTCGGTGTATACACTCTCTGTCTTCCCTTAAACTAAGAGATTAAAATCGCTTCATATCTTTCTTTCTACGACCTAATTCTTTCCTCCTGTACTAAATCCTTATATGCAATCTTTCTTTTATATATTGCCACCTCTGAATTAACTACTTTTATGAATCCGGTGTCCATCTTGTTGTGTTAATGAGGTATGGCAACTTGGACCGATGCATATATGTGCCTGGTCCTACGTTGTAGCTGACTGAATGACAATGAGTATAACAACCACATGTTATTGGCTAAACAGTAAACAAAAATGGGAATAGAGTGAGAAATACGTACAAATATGCTTCTAATATTATATGGATATTACGTGGCCTATGCTCCATTAGGAGTAACAAGCGTAAGTAATTGCGTGACTACTCCCTCAGTTTTGTTTCAGGACCCTTAACTAAAATGGCTCAGCTAAACTACAAGATACTGTTATCGTCTCAACTACTGAGTGCACAACAGCAAGGAAAGGAATAGACATATACATAATCTTGACAAACGACTGGAATTGATTTGACTTACACCGCAACTACACACTCAAATTAGTTTGTCTTAAGAAAGGTCCTACACGTTTATGTACTATAAACCTTTAAAACACCAGCCCAATTAGTGAACATACAAGTATTTCATAACATAACTTCTGTTTTGAATTCTCATGGGAACAAATTCACTTAAATTGGTGCTTTACGCATACCACTAGGTTATGCTGGCAGAAGTTACTTGGTCCCGCTATTTATGTGGTTGGGTGTTCTAAATTACAATTCTCTTGAATTACACGTTATCCTAAGCTCTATGCTGGTTATGACACTATGTTTATAACTTCTTCCAGTGATGTTGCTGCACTCATGTTAAAAAATGTTTTTGTGGGAGTTAGGTAACAAATGAAGTATTTTGAATTTTAGGCTTGATCCATAAATTCAAAAAGTTATAAAACCCTGATCTTCAGTCCGCAGTATCAATAAGTTCCAGAAACAAGAGGAAAATAGATTAACCCACTATGAATTCTGTTTACATTAGGAATATACCTTCTGGTGCTGCAGAGTGGAACATATTTGTTTTCTACTTCTCCATTTTAGAAACACTATGGAACGAAGACATAGACAACAGCTGTGGGTCAACAGAGTTTAACGAATTATGTGGTGTGGTCTTTTTTTAACTAAAATATAATTTCGGCACCTGTCCTCCCTTGTGGATATAAATACAAACAAGCTTGCAGATATGTAACTAAGGCTATCAGATACCTATCAAAAACGTCGGAATACCTCGTAGCGATGAGCGTACAAAAAAGCCTTTGCATCTGGTGACACTGGAAATATCAAACGATTTTCCGATGAATCAGCAGGCACAAATGGGACAAACTTCTTCAGGGTTTGGAGAAACGAAAGTACGGAACCTATAAAGACATGAAAGCGAACTGAAGTATCCTACCGAAAAAGCATCAACGACGTATAGGACAATATTATCTGTAGAATGCTCTGCTCGACACTCTTTGATAGCTGCTTCACAAAGTGCCTTTGTAATTCTGTTGTTATCGATTTTTTGCTTAAGGATTGTTTCTACCAGCTTACGAAGAACCTTTTGTCGTTTTCCAGGCTCAACACGTTGGACAATTGATAGTATATACTGAGAAGCATCCGGGCAAGAAAAAGACCGTTTAGTTTAAAGGGCTTATCAACATCAGATTTCGACACCTCCTAAAAGATTACAGATGAGAGCGTGAACATTTAGAACCAAACCATTTTAATCAAAACCCCGCCGAACGGGAATATCAAATCTGATTGGCCTGAAACTAATATTTGAATGTGGTGTGAGGAAACAAAAACACCCGATGTACAACAAATTTATGAAGGATAAGGTTATTCTACTTGATTCCTTGAAGCTTGAGAGTAGATGTTAAGGAACAGTTTCGATTTTCGTAAGTTTCTAGGAGACATAATTCTTTCCTATTTTGACGTCAAAAACTAATTTAGAAGCTACTGTAAATAATTCAAATGTCTGTGAGTGCGATGTATAGGATTTTATAGGTTCACGTCTAGCGTGAAAATACTTCGCATGCTGATGGACTATGAGAAACAGTGTTTTCAAGACATTCTGAGAGAGAAAAGTGCAAGAGGAAATCAAGCGCATAGAAGGCAGTGGGCAATATTTAGAAGAAACAAAGGTGTAAAACTGGAATCAACTGCAGTGACATAGTAGTTGGACAATTTTTGTAACTACGATCAAAGTGCATAAATAATCACATGCTGTTTATTTTTGCCAGTTATAAAAGAAAACCACACTTTTTGATTAGTTGCTACTTTCGTTACTTTTGTTGTGCAAGTGAATACCAACTGTTGTATGTTTTGGTTAAGGCTCCGTTGCATTTCGCCAACCCCACATTACAGTTATATACACTGTGTTTTTCCTCTAACTTTTGTGCAGTCTCCCTATAATTTGTTTTGAAACTGAACTTAGTTGGGTGATCCAGAGGGCGTTTGGAGGCTTTCAGGATTCTGTAGGTTGCTACCAGGGAACCTAATTTGTGAAAATTAAAATCTTGCGTTTCGAGACATCTCTCTGAAGACTTAGGCTCAGGGCTTCTAGTTAATTTCGGGGCTCGATTTCCGATATGATATGGTGGACCTATACGTTTGAGTGGTAAAAAAATGCTTCCATGCTCAAGTTTTGGCTGAATTAAACTTGGAATCCATGTGGAAGGTTTACTTTCAGTCTGTCTAGAAAGACGCTTAAAATATAACACATCAAGGTATTGCTCTGAAGGTTTTCTTATCACGGTTGGCATATGGTTTTAGGTTATATGGAACTACAATACTTAGGGTTTTTTAAACTAGTCCCTTTCAGTATGAACTTTTCAATTAGTAAATGTATATTTTGACATGCATTAGGTAAACTGTTATACAATTCGCAAAGTTGGAATTTAGTTTACGGTTATCCTTGGAGCTGTGAAATTGAGTATGATCCTCTTGATACAGTAGTATATCCTTGTTGCTTTGGGTTACTGCCAAATGTTTTAGACCTCCAAACAGTAATACTTTAATAGATGCGTGGTGGGATATGTGGTATGTGTGAAGTAAAACTCTGAAATTCCTGATACTGTACCCTGGGGAAATTAAGATAGCCCGTAGCCAACGGAAATAAATAATTTACTCTGTCCTTAAATGGCTGGTTATTCAAATTGCTTAAACCAGTTTGTCAACTGTGACTGAATACATGTTATTCTGACGTTGTTGACTACTAGTCTTATCAAAAGCTTTTAAGGAGTCAAGATACGTAACATACTCTTTAGTTTTGCGACTAAGGATAATGATCCGGTTATCTACCACGGTTAGCAGATTGATGACATAGGTGTGGCTCCTTGTGAAATCGTACTTTGCGATGTAAATAGATTTACCGTTGAGACGGTTGTATGTGAACCATCATAAACCAGAGATCGCTTAACTCTATAGGTTACCGAAAGAAAAGACACCTTTTGCCAGCTCGAAGTATCTTTCCTGCCTCTTTCCTGAAGATTGAGATGATGTGTTAACCTGTAGTGGCATTGGACAATAGCCACACAATCCACAAAGCTGTGAACACGAGACTACTCAGAAAATAGATATTCAATATTTAACGCGGAGAAATACCTAACAATGGAGAAGGCGCGAACAATGAATTGAATGGACTGGGTTTGATCGGATGGCATGGCTCGGCCATGCAGGCGTGGTCCATCTGAATGTTATCTTATATCTTCTATTCGTATTAAATATATTGTTCCTTCTCTAGCCTAACCTTGTTCTACATCATGTATTGGTAATTGATACGATACAGTGAGTTGGCGTAGTCGATGGTGTGACTTCCACGTAAGATCTTATAGATTAGGCAGTTATATCATGACAAATCTACAAATTTAGGATTAGGTCTATTATTAGAGCAGCACTAATATCATAGTAGACCATAATTCTACATTGGTGAGCCCAACTAAAGAAACGCAACCTGTTATTGTTAATCCTTATTTCCACCTTAACCTTCTCAATCGGTTTTTATTTTTGTAAACCCAGTATTCTAATAGTCCTTTGATTAATGGTCACATATATTATCGTAATGTTATATCTATTAGTTCACATAACTTACTAGCTCAATCGATAATAGAAGTTGATCATCTATATCAACTAATTAGCTTTGATGGTTCGTTAACAAGCTTTAATAGCATTTACCTGCTTCAGCAACATAGACTTGTTTAAACATCAAGCTCTAGCAAATATGACCTGTTAATAGCGTAAATATACATTGACTAACAATGTAATCAAGGACTAAATACTTATCTGGATCTAATTATCAGTGTTCCTCCACCTAACACCTCATCCTGTTTTAAACTATGCACTATCCTGTAATATCTTTCTTCTGACCACTGCCTGCCTAATTTCATATTTGCGAGTTCCATTGCCAAACAACAAGGATGACAATTCTCCAAAAACATACGGTGAGTTTCAGCTATAGGTTTTCTGCAATCATAAGGTCATTTTAGATAACTCGTTCAATGGCGACCACACTAGTATCTGGATTCATTCAATTGTTCTGATTCGAGCGAGTGGCAAAAACGTCAACAGCATCAAGCTTCCCGGAATTAATTGCCATACTGCATGTTTTATTCTGGATACTTTTGGATCATTACTACTCCTCACGAATGTCGTTATATATTGTCGTCCACTGAATAATCTACTTTTCAAAAATAATCCAGGCGAGTTCAACTATTTTACTTAATGATTTTTTCACTTAACATGTATATATTTTCCAGTTACTTCTGCCACATATTTGTAATTGTCCCTAGGCTAAATGCACTAACTTTTGGAAAATTTATAATTCTTCATATTCCTGCCTGAAGTTTCACAAGCAGTCTAAACTTTAAAATTATTTTCTGGTCATGTTCATTATTTTTAAATCGTCATATACGTCAACAACCTGCATGTTAACCTGGCCCATACATACGTTACACTATATCTCCATGTCTTCTAAATTTAGAAATCATCTGGATCGCCTTTAACATTTATCAATAAACCCATCATAGTCGTTGTTGCTAATCGTATTTGGGTTTATGGATTGTTTATCATATTAGCAGCCTAAAATGCGAACATAGTTTAGATAATAAGATTAAAAATTTAGGTACTATCAACTGCACTAGTAAAATAACTAAATCCCTAGGTAGCTGTTGGCTAAACAAACGTTTAAAATCAAAACTCCGTAGCCTACTAGAATTAACACTAAACGAATATTTCTGAATTGAAATTTATAATTAAATTAGGCGTCTCGGATTCTGTAACGTTACAAATTTCTGATAATTTCGAATCACCTAAAGCAACAATACCTATTTTTCCACTGACTAATCCTCAATCAACACTATAACTAGTTAAACATAGTAGTTTCAGGATATCGTCATAAAGCATTGTCATGACTTGACAATCACGTAATATGATTGATAAAATTAATGAAACTATTAACAAAATCGGTCAGCAAATTGACTTAAAATTATCACTAGTGTTGTTTTTCTTTTATCTTCATTCACTACAGATGATTACAGTATGTTTCTCTATCAGTTGCTCATTCAGTAAATATCTCAAAACCTTGTCAGTCTAATTGATGGTTTAGCGACACAATCATGCATGCAAATAATCAGTATAAGCAGTCGAGCAAATCTCCTGCAAACTGAAAACATCAATGTCGAATTTACCCCAACACTGACTAAGGTTCAAGCCATTATCATAGACATGAGTTGGGAGTGTACTCCCCTTGGTTACAACTTATGTTCTCCCTGATAATCACATGAGCATCACTCACTATTAATCATCTTGTAAAAACTTATTTAGCCAAATACATCTTGCAGCACCTAGTAATGTGACACATAAGCTGATTTCAATAACTTATAACCACTATATCTCAATTAAATCGTATTCCGCCTTATGATAAACTGCATACTTGCAACTAACTTGTATGCGTCATCAGCCGTCAGGTATAAATATGTATAAATAGACTATGGCAACTCAGAACATTGAGTCTAGAGCATGTCTCTTACGAATACACTCATGTTTAACGATTTGTTCTTAGCTATCTGTCCTAAACTCATATAATTATCACTTACGTATTTAAATTTTGTTTTGATAACCATTCATGTGTATTAGTAGTATTACTAAATTCTATCACGGTCAAATAAAAATGAGGTTGAGAAAATCTCCCCGTAACTAAATAAACCGTATCAAACTAACTGGAACACTAGTTGGAATTCTTCTCCACGGTAATACTTTTGTTCTTTCAGTTAGCCTACTAATACAAATGCAATTGAAAATCAACTCATGGACAACTTACTAGCATGAACGTTATTTGATTTTATAATTTAAACCAAAACTAATACCAATATCAACATTTCTACAATATTAATTGCTTTTAATATTTCTAAACACAAAATACTTACTACCTATACGTCAAGTTACTAACCAACGGCTATTAACACGCATCACTTTATTATTATTATTATTATTATTGTAGTCCCATTTTTTATAGCTCAAATAATCTTCACCCACATTTTCATTTTAAGCGTGTTAAGCATGAAGGCAGATTTTTTAAAAATTATTACATGTATTTCCCGACCAGATGCTGCCGCTTTCTTTTTGATTTATCTTTCAGCTTACCAATACCCGGAGGATTCTTATTATCCTTGGTAACCTCCGGCGCGCGACGATCCCATCCAATTTGGTATCGAACCAACATC